AAAAAAAAAACATGTGCGCATATCACACAAGTTAGAAGTGAAACCTTCAAATAAACAAGTTTCGAAAATAATTTATTATACAATATTATTATAATATTATTTGTTTTTTCAATTTGTAATTAATTATTTAATTATTAATTTAATTATAAAAGTGCGCGCCTGTGCATATGCAACCCTCCAGACACACTTTGAAAATGTTGCTTGCAAGCGCCATCTACTGGGACGGAATTTTTTTGCAGTTAAAACTGTTTATACACGTATGTATGACGGGTTGCCTATCTTTCGGGTAGAAAAAAATTCCGTCCCGACAGATAACGCTCGCAAGCAACATTTTCAAAGTGTGTCTGGAGGGTTGTATTCATACAGGCGCACATTTTTATAATATTTACAAAGAAAGTAAATAATAAAACACTTTAAAAAATGTACGAAACAGATCATAAAGAGGAAACCGAGAGTAGGAAAAACTATATAACTATATTTTGTCTCATTCTCTCGCACTCTCAATCCTATATATTTGTCTCTTTTTCTCTTTTTACTTAGTATTAAGGCCGTTGCTTTCCCCCTCTATATCGTCCGTTTCCTTTTTCTACTACATCCCGGTTTCGTTTTTCAACTACATCACTGCGTTTCATTTTTTCAAATCACACCCATTCTAAAGAAGTTTTTACTTCAAAAATAAAAATTTACATAAATAACATTTGAAATTCCCTCGTTCGTATAGTTAGCTGCTCAATCGATACGTTTTTTGTGATTAGTCATGCCATCTATCGTTGCATAGAAAAAATAACAACCAAACTCTGTTCCTATTGGTTAAATTCAAATCGTTATAGATTGAGCTGTTGAAATGTGATTTACATTATTAACGGATAATTCTTAGTGCAGAAGTTTTATAAAGTGAATCGTAAAATCTTTTCATTTTGCATATTACATTGTTATTGAAAAAAAAAAAAGTAAATTAATTTAATAATCCACATTGAAGATAATATAAATATGTAATCACTTCAAGTATGTGTTCGTGTACATGGTGAAATAAAAGCAGATGAATATTTGAATACTTGAAGGAAACATTTTAGAAAGGTTGCTGTTTATTATAGAATTTAGAAGTATTCAAGTGAATTTTTTTAATTTTTAAAAATGACTGCATCACTGTCGGTATTAGCAAGTCTTGACGAAGTAGTAAGATGTTCAAACGTCCTCATAAATGGATCTTGCGAAGAAGGTTAGTAAATGTTCTAAATATTTGTCTATATTAATATTTATTATAACATACATTGTTAATAATATTACATTTTACTTTCATTTAGAATTTCTTCAATTTGCTATTAATCAAGAAGAAATGCGACAAAAATGGTTGGCATCTGTTCAAGAATGTCAACGGCTTCATATAGCATTAGAAAAATCACATCATGAAACAACGCGTCTTGATAGAAAACTCAATCATGCTAGACGTTTGTTGAATGAAGAAAAACAGATGCGAAGAGCTGCCGAAGAAGAAAAACATTCTTTGGTATTATTATAATCTTCCTTTACATATATATATGTATATAAAAATATAGCAATTTGTTGAATGTATAATATTTAACAGGAACGACAGATTGCTTTAGTCAGAGATCTTCTTTTTAATGACGGTGGGAGAAACTTGAATGATGAAACTAGAGAAAAATTACAATTTCTCAATAATACTTCTATAAATGGCAGAAACAGCAATATACATGTTAAAGAATTACACCATAATGATAAGTACGTTTACTTTTTATACAAAAATATAAAAAAAAAAAAAAAAACTATTACAAAGAACTAAATTTATCTGTTTGATTTTAGACTTAACACAATAACGGAGTTAGACTCTACTGGTTCTTTATTAAGTGACTTTAGTTGTTTTTCAAAATCGGAGGATGATTTAGATACAAGCGTTATTATTCAACAAAATCAAAAGAAAAGGGAATGGAAAGAACATAGACCAAGTGGAGAATACTCTCCAAAGAAACGTCGTAGTACACTGCAAAAAGTTGCAGAATTAAATACTTCTGACAAAATAATAGCTACTACTACTGTCACAGTGCCAAAAGAAGGTGCAATCACTGCCTCTTCAGTGATCGAAGCTATACCAATGAATGAAACTAACAATTCTCAAGGACACAATTCACAAAGTGCACGTAAAAGGCGCAAAAGTTTAGATCGTAGTAAAAATAAACTAACGCAATTAGATCTCAATGAAATAGCTGTTGATACTACAGTACGTAATTAATTTCTTTTTTATTTTATATTAATATTACTATTGATATATATATATATATATACATAAATATTGTTTTTTCTTCTAAAGCCTTCAGCACCAAAAGCAGATATTCTTACATCGGGTTCCGATTCAGAAACTGCTTTTAAACCGAGTCCAAATATTGGTGGGTACACTTTAAATATTAAAAATTCCAGAGGTCACAGTTTCACAGCAAAAACAGTTATTAAACCTGAAATTTGTACACCGTGTGGAAAACGGTAAGATATTTTCCATTTAAATTTTACACACACACACACATTATATATAAATACTTAAATTATAAATTAAATTATACATTTATTTTTACAATTAGAATTCGATTTGGTAAAGTAGCTGTCAAATGTAGAGACTGTAAAGCTACAGCACATACAGAATGTAAAGATGTAGTACCACTTCCATGTGTTCCAACAGGAAATACACCTACTTTCCGTGGTACTTCAGTAAGTATAAAATAAATGAAAAATAAGATATATTTTAATAATGAAATTAAACAATCATTTATTTCTTTGATTATTTTCAGGGTACTATAGCAGACTATGCTCCTATGATTCCTCCAATGGTGCCTTCATTAATAGTCCATTGTATTAATGAAGTAGAATTGAGAGGTATGAGTGAACAAGGATTATATAGAGTAAATGGCGGTATAACAGATGTTAAATGTTTGAAAGAAAAGTTTCTCAGAGGCAAAGGTGCACCTAATCTTTCTGAAATTGATATACCTACGATCTGTTCTACACTAAAAGATTTTCTTAGGTATATCTTTTCTTTATGATTTTATTTTATTATTTTATTTTAATAATATAATATAAAATAATTTGTAATAATCAGAGTAAATAACAATTGATATGTTTTATTATAGATCTTTGCGGGAACCTTTAATCACTGTAGCACTTTGGGCAGATTTTGTTCGTGCTACTTCTATTCCAGATAAAGAAGATGCAGAAGCAGCACTCTATCAAGCAATTTCAGAACTTCCACAGCCTAATCGAGACACACTTGCTTTTCTTGTGTTACATTTACAACGAGTATCAAGTAGTGCTGAATGTAAAATGCCAATAAGTAATCTCGCTAAAGTGTTTGGTCCAACTTTAGTTGGTTTCAGTTCTTTAGAACCATCTCCTACTTCTATGCTTAGTGAAACAAAAAATCAAGTTGCAGTATGTAAAAGTTAATATTTGTATTATGTAACTACAAATTTTATAAAATTGTGTTAACATTATTCGTATTATATTTTTTTGTTTTTTAGATCGTGGAGAGCTTGTTAAAAATTCCATCTGATTATTGGGCAAACTTTGTTAATCCTGAAAATTTGAACAATATTGGTACTCCTAAAACTGGAGAATTAAGACATACACCATCTACAGAATCATTATTGAAACGTACAGCATCTCGTGGATTTTTCCATACACCTCTTACATCCAGGTTAGTTTAAAATCTTTTATAATTGACTATATTTTACTATATTCTACTCTAGCTATGAGTATTTTGTTTGTCTTCATTTTAATACTATCTTTTTTTTTTTTCAGTCGTACATTTATTAAGAAAAATAAAAAATACTTCGCAACTCCACCTTCTAGAATAGGGTATTAAGTATATATAGTATATATTAATAATAATTACTATATTATAATTTGTATAGATATAATGCAAAAAAACACTCTATCGAGATTAATTAAATGAAACGCTATATTTGCAATTTTGCCTTATAAAATTAAGTGAAACTGAGAGTCACACTTAATAATTAATTAACAATCAGCGATTGTTTAGGCTCACATTTAATTTGATTATATTTGATAATTAATAATTTCATCAAAAACTTGCACAAAACTTTTCGTATTTACTATAAGAAGTGCCTTATAACATTTTTTCTTTTTTTTTACGTTTACTTATTACAAATACAATTACAAATAATATATATATATATATAATATGTTAGAGATAATAGTAGTACCTTGTTCATTTTAATTTTTTTTTTTTTTTAACATTTAGTTCAAATCGACAGCGTACTTAATGTTAAAGTATAAGTAATTTGTAAAAAAGATATTCTATAATTCGTTTAATATTTATCTATCACATAAAAAAGAAAAAAAAGTATGACATATATTTTTATACTTATACTTTGTTTCTAGTTGTTTTTTGTATAAATATAAAACGATACTCTGTCGTTAAAAAGTAAATTTCTTTTACCATTTAACACGTGTTTAATTTCACTTAACAATACGTATATAAATATCTATTATTATAAAAAAAAAATAAAATAAAATAATAAGAAATAAAATCGATAATTGTAGTAAGATAATATTCTTGCAGTAAAATACACAACAAAAATAATTATTGTTTTATACAAAAAAAAAAACTATCTTCTTTAGAGAAATTGAATTTAACACACACACACTATATCTGTGCTTTTATTATTTCATATGTTCTACAAAACTTTCATTGTAATATACTCCGTTTCTTTTTTTTGTATTTTATTTTAAGACTTACATTTAGATCACAGCTAAAATTCACATTATTTGTTATGTTAATTTTTACCAATAACTGGAATAGAGTACGCGAGAGATCTAGTCATATGGTCATAGTAAAAATAATCAATCGATATTAATTATCATTTAAAGCTAATTCTTGAACGATATATATATATATATCCATAAATTCGTTTCTTTTTTTTTCTTTTTTTACATTTTTATATTTTTAATAAAACTTAATTATATGTGTGCCTCTTCTTCTTCTTCTTCTTCTTCTTACTGCTTTAAACGCGTACAACTTTTTTCTTTTAACTCCCAACAAGAATCCCAAAATTGTTTCAATCTATTATCCCCATTTGAACAAAAGTGTTTAAAATCTTGAATAATTTTCTTTTGAAACAATTCATCACCGGCTGAAGTGGATAAAGATCTCCACTTCCGACTGATCATATGATTCCATGACCAAAGAAATCCCATCTTCAAATAAAACAAAAAAATCATTTCTTATATTATCCCTATGATTAACTTAATATTAATAAATAATTAATATACTTACTCGTCTATCTACATTATAATCATCTTTACTTTTGCCACTAACATGACGTGTTATATATGCTTCATGTGGACTTGGTTGTTCAGGATGTACTGGATATCTTTTTTGTCCTGTACTTCTTCTTACTATATTTGTACCAGCACGTTGACGTGGCCTTGTACTTTTAGTCGATGGTACAAGTATAAAAGCATTTCCAGTCATATGAACATATTGATGATCATTTTCCGAACTTTCAATCAAACAGGGTATAAAACCAAATCTTCGTAATATAGCTTCTTGAAATAAGAATAATCTTTGAGCATAAGTATCTTCGCGAAATTCTGAAAATACATATACATACATTTTTTAACGAATATATCAGAACATGATCTGATATGAAATATCTTTGATTATTTATTAACAAACCTTCAAATAGAAATTGTTTATTTCCCATAAGACATTCTGTATCTAGTGGTATAAAGATAGGACCTCTTAAAGGATCACTTTTTAAAGTAAATGGTAATGCTAACAAATCACTTGGAATTGGTATCATTTGAATTCCACACATTTGAGCTTTACGTTGCCAGATGAATATCTTAGTAAAGAAAAATTTGTTATAATATAAATTCATTATAAAATTATAGTTAATAATTTATGAATATAATACTTACAAGATCAGCTACAATACTACCAGATGAAGCTACCCATTGCACTACAAGTTCGTAAGAATGATCAATCATATAAACAGATTGATACCTGAGATGTCCCCATTCTATTCTATCACTTTTGTTATTGATATCAATGTCTAAATGCGTGTGTTTATATGGTGGACCTGCATAATTGAGACAATTCATTAAATATGTTCTTAATATGAACATAAACAAAAATACAACAGTATATTATAATATAAAAAATACAACCATTCAATTCCTTCTCCTCCAAGAAACTTGTTAAATCTAAATCGTCCCTTAAAAATAATGGTACATTCGATTCATCAACAGTATCATAATTAGGTATAGATATAGGAGATGACACTGTTGGTAAAGTGGTAGTAGTGGTACTAGTAGTAGTAGTTGTAGTAGTAGCAATAGTAGTAGTTGGTTCGCACCAACCTTTGGGAGCTTTCATTTCAACTTCCACCCATTCATTTTCAAAACTTTGAAGATCACCCAGAGGTGGTGAATAATCTGCAGCTAAAATAAAAACAGAATGAAAAATATTCAATTCTATATCAATTAAATTATCTGAAACTTTACCTTTTTGATTTTCCTTATCCTGAACTATATGATATAAATAAAATCCTAATATAAAAGGTTTAGAAAAATCTCCAGATGCGTGACAAATAAGAGTTTCTTGAATCATTCCCTACAACAAAGTATGTATATATAATGTTAGGATAGAATTCGATACAAGTTTATACATTGTAATATTTGTTATCTTACTTTTATAGTATTAATGGCACTTTCAACAGTAACACCACCTTCTGTATTATTACTTAGCCATTGTACCGCATCTGCACTAACAAAAGTTTGACTCGGTAAAGATGGATGTTGTGTAAGAAATCCTACTCCTGTTTGTGGATGTTTCATAGCTTCCAAAATTTCAGCATTTGTAGCATTACTTTTCAACTTCGTTAATTCCATATTAGTACTAAAAATAAATCATTAATTAATATATAATATAAATAAATCACACATAAGAAGGAATATTAATTAAATACCTATCCTCATTAGTTTCAAAGTGATCTTGCTGTTGTTGCTCTAAAGCAAGAGGAAGAACTGCTTCACTCGCAGGAGAGACTCTTCCTCTATCCATTACCTTGGAACCTGATCTAATGTCATAAAATAATATTACAAATTTGTTCATATATCATCTTATAAAATATGATCAAAGTGAAAAAATGAAATGCGTAGTGCTTAGTGGATTAAGCAATGTACATTGTTGCTGCAGAAACAAGCTAACAAGTCTCTTATATATTATTTTTTATCATTATGAAAGATTTATTAAGAAATTTCATTTGTATGTATAAGTTTGAACATTGCTTTTAACAAAGAGAAAAAATAAAAATATTTCAACTTTATTTGATATTATCAAATATATTAAGTTAAATGGCTCATCATCATTATGAACCTTTTGTTTTTGAAGAAGAAGAAGAAGAAGAAAAAAAAATATATACATACATACATACATACATACCCAAATATGAATAACAAAAAATCAAATTTGAAATAAATATTTATATTAAAAGAGAGAGAGGTAAGAGAATGAACCAACCTGTTTGGCACGTGACGAGGAGTGTCGAGGCACGTGCGTGCAGCCACAGCGGTATTCACTACATGCCTCTCCTGTACAGAGAACCCCGTCACTCCCACACTCACTACCAATCATATACTCTAGGTAGAGTCTCTGCATATATATTTAATCATGCCTTATATTAAGATTTTGACTTTTATCTCTACACTGGCAAAATATATCGTGCAGATACTCTATATACTTGTTTCATAGTAGTAACAAAAAAAAAAGGATGAAGTAAGCTGTAACGTATAGAATGTATATAAAAATCTTTCTTTTTTTTTTTTTTTTTTGTTCAGCACATATAGATTGAAATAGTTTTGTCCGTAAACCTCTTCCAAAGTTAACAGTAATATTAGATTAGAGATTAATTATAAAGATATATTGCTTGTTATTAATTAAGGCATACAATACTTATAATGCAAATTATAAATACAAAGCAAATATCTATGGTGTAAAGTATTTTTCTATCACCATCTCTTATTTCATATATTAGCATTAAAATAAACAAATTATAATTACAGTATAACACTATGGATGACAGATACGAATAATTCAAATTAAACTAATCATAATAAAAGCATATATTATTAACACATAACATTCTAAACATTGAATATAAATATAAATATATATATATATATTTGGTTTTTTTTTCTTTTTTTATATCTATATTGTTTTCACACAATTTTTAATAAAACGGGTTGTCTATCACCATGAATGCTAAACTGAAAATTAATTGTATTATCACAATCAAACATAGATAATAATACTAATAAAACACAAAGAAATTATGCAAGGTAAAACAATTTCGAGAACTTGTCGAATTACCACATTGATTTTGTAACCAGTTAGCTGTTATTGATGAATAATACTTGCCATGCGAACAAAATAATTACCATTTGCTATTTAAGGATATCAAAATTCAATGTTTTTTTTTTTTTTTTTTTTTTTCATTAAATATTGAAAAATATTATATATTTCCTGAAACAATGTTGTAATTCAATTCTCGTGCTACATATATAGACAAGCAGAAGAAGTGTCTAACACCAATTTGGCATGGTCCACTGGAATAAAAAAAGGTGACGAACTACATAGTGAAATTAGCAAAAAGCAAATGCTGAAATCATTAATTTAAGCATGTTCAAACCTTGGTCGTGGTTTCTCTGGTAGACGGTTGCTCCCAAGTCGTTCCCTAAAGGGAGAGCTGCTTACTAGACTGGTCTGTAAAGTATGATGAAAAGTATGGATAATTGTGAGGGCATGATTGAAGCTGATGATTATGAAGATAGATATCTCTGTCTATTTATAATAATATAAAAGGAAAGACATGATCATTATTATATAAGAAGAAGAAGAAAAAAAAAGAAGATAATGTTTCATAAATATTATAAATATTGAAAATATAAATGAATTAAACAACGGTAAACATCTCACGCATAATGAGAAAGCTCGCTATAAATTGTGGATGCACATTCAAGGCTAGTATATATATATATATATATCAAGCATATTCAAAAATCAATATTAAGTACAGTACATAAGCTTTATGATAATTCGAAATAACATTTATTTAAAAGCAATTAAATTGTATTCACAGGCATAAAAGGAATTACTTATATTCATATATTGAATATAAATGGTGCATATTAATAAGATATCAATTTATAGATTGAAGTTCATATTTTTCTGCTCGATATTATCTAATTCAAAGCTTAGACCTGATTAGATTAATAGCTGCCTCAATAGATGGAGGCTATTTTGCTAGGGGAAGTACCTGGTTAGTGAGGAATATTAGGCTCGTGCTGTGCCTGCGTCTGGTCAAATGAGAGGCAGGGTCTCTTGGAGGGACACCACTTAGAACTGTGGGGCTCTGAAACATAGCATGCTAAATACCCCATCCCTACTGCCTGCTTAAATATTTGTTTATATATATATATTATTTTATGTGGCCACATAATTGTAATGGAAAAAAACTATTTGTTTCTGAACCATCAAGAGCATCGTAAATGTTTTTTTCAGTATATTGTAACTATAACATCAGCCTATGAATGTAGGAAAAAAAAGTTAGTTGCTTTGAATACTTTTGTCCAATATATTGTAGTAGTGGTAGTGAATGTTTTTAACTACACAAGCTTATTATGGAAGCCGTGCATATATATCTCGCCTCCTATTTGTTTTTATTCACAGCTATTTATATATTTCTATAGATTTAAAATAATACATGCAATAATTTTATATTACATTATTATTATAGTATAAAATGTATTTATAGAAGATATTACCAAGAAGACATGAAATATTACATTACACTATTTAACATATAAAGATAAACGCAGAAATTAAATATGAAGCTAATTATTAAATGAAATCAATCAAACAATTTTTGCATAAATAAAAATGAAAAATAAAATATAAGTTTAATAATAATCACATGAGCATAATTGAACTACAGAACTTTGGCATGCACATTCTAACGTAGTAGTGCTAATAAAATAAAATAAAATAAAATAAAATAAAATAATATAATATAATTTAAATTAATATCACAATTAAATTAATAGTTAAACAACGAATCAATTATTTGCTAGATAAAAATATCAATAACAATGTTATTTCTTTATGATAATTCAATATCATATATTATTTTCTTGCATACACATAAATTGTTCACAATTTGAAAATATATATATATTATATTTTTAAATTAGACAAAGAAAAATTAAATAGATATTATTATACATTACCCAATTTTTATTAGGAAGCGGTCGTCGTATTTTGTTCAACCATCCTTCTATAAAACGCAAAAATCCATCCATGAGAGAAGCTTGCTCGGCTGCTGAAGCTGGTGTATATATGTCGCATTTTGATGAACCTTCTAAAATTTTTCGTGTTGCAAAATTGTTCATTGGCAATAAGAATACTCTAAACCTCCAATATTTAAGTGTCTTAAAATAAAATAAAAATTATACGATAGATAATGATTTATTCTATACAATTTTAAAATATGAAATTATTAAAATAACTACCTCTACTAAAGAAAAATCAGTATGTCCTCTTGTGCATATATAATGATCTAAATAATTCCAATTATAATTTTCAAGTTTCTCTGTTGTAAAAGATACCCATGATACTTCATAAGTATCATGATGAGGAGCATGAAATCTATATCGATAATGGATATTAAATGGTGGATAAGGATGCCTAAAAAATAAATAATATTATAAATTATTATATTTTGTAGTATTGTATAGATGTATATTATAAATAGTTATTTATATACCTTGGCCTGTATCTTGTAACTGTTATAGAGTTACCGTAAAGTGATATTTTATGAAAAATTCGTCCAATACTAAGCAAGTATTCTTCTTTTGGTTCAGATTCTGTTTGTCTTCCTCGCATTACAGAACTTATGGGTGCAGCTGTACCACTACCAGGTGTATTACTTTGATTTTTATTGATAGGTGGTAATAAAATTAGTTGAAAACCCTAAAATAATTGAAATATAAGTATAATTATAACAACAAATATTACTATTATTATGAAAAGTAAAAAAAAAATGATCTCATACTTGAGCCAGTCTCTGTGAAACGAGTTCTTTGAAGACTTCTGCAGTTGTTAAAGGTTTTTTATAAACTGCTCGTTGTTGTGCAAAATCTGCATTTACATCATCTGGTAAAAGATTATAGTCAGAAACAACATAATCATTTTGTAAACTCCTTTTATCTGGGAAGTAATCTGTAGTAATGGGCAAACAAGCAGGAATTGTTAATGACTTCCAGTCAACACCTAAAGAATAAAAAAGACAGACTATAATATAATATTTGTTAAATTATAATAAGTACAAAAAGCAAGTATTGAAATTATACCAATTACACATTCAGCATCTTAACTTTAGTAAAAATTGTATACAATATATCTCTCTGCCGTTTTTGATTATCTTACGTTGAATTATTTTTTTAATTAAAAGAAATATTTATTCTTTTAATTAAATTGATTAATTTAAATTAAATTAAAAATGTTATTTAATTCTTTACGACAACAATTTATATCGTAACACTCTTTTATGTTAAAAATAAAATATAACTAAAAAAATATGTAGCATATATAGTGTATAAATAATATATACCTGTACAATACCTAGATGTTAAAATTAACATAAAAAAAAAAACAAAACTATATCAAAGAAGTACAAAGTGCACAATAAAATTTAGTTACTATATCACACAGAACTTTGAATATAAGGCAATATAAGGCTTCTTTTTTTTTTTTTTTTTTTTTTTAACACAAATTAAATATGCATTTATGATAACTACATGTATGATGTATTGAAATAATATGATTATTTTGTAGGACTACAAAAAGGAGAGAATATAATATTGAGTTTATGTATATGCAAAACATAAATAATTCTAATTATGTACGCGTGCGTGTGTCGCGTGCGTGCATATGTCGTGCCGTATTAAATGCAAAGCTGCCTCTAAGCATGAAGATGTATATATTAAAAATGATATTACTACGTACTTTTACTAAATAGATATTTTTAGGTATTCAAATGTTAGTCTTAAAAATACGTTGCATATTATTTCTGTTGTAATACAACATAACTTGAATATAAATATTCATGTTCGTTTAAATGACACATTTGATTACCTTAAAATAGCAAAAAGCATAGGATCGAAAGAGAAATAATGGCATATACAACATGGAATACAAAAGAACTTATAAAATAGAAGAGTTATATAAATCCTGTAGTATTGGATTGATTTCCTTTTTAAGTTTTGCAGAAGGCTAACATCTTCTAAAAAAAAAAAAAGCAGATCTTAACAAAGAGGTACATCTATGTATAAAAGCATTTTATAAAATAAAATTAAACGTTACACACATTTAAGTGCATGTATAAAATACATATACAAATATGCAAGTCCACATAACCAGAGTGTTATATATATATATATATATATATATATATATATAAATAATATAATGAAATATTATTATATCCCTTAAATATATCGCTAAAATTAATAAACAATGTAACAGAAGTAATTAATAAAGAAAGACTATACTATCCTGATATTAAAGACATATTTTAAATATTGACTACGTAGCTTGAAATAAATAACTTCATTGATTAAATAGTTTAACTTGAATAACACACAAATGGCTATGTACAATATGCATGCACAGAAAACAAGAATAGAAATAAGAGAAATTAGAAAGACAATGAGAAACTAATTTAGGAGTAGTGACAGTTCTACTTGGACTTAATATCCCAAAATAAATGTATACCATAACCGAGAATCAACTTTCAGTAATATATGGCGCTAACCTATGATTGCTGTTTAATGTGACATCATAGTTGCACATCACACACGCATCAATACGTCCAGCGTTGCGTCCCAATAAGACGTACCATAGCATGGAAATAAATGCAATACCATTATTTTTTTTTTATCTCCGATTGTGGGTTTATGTTGATAATATGTAAAATTATTTCTAAAAATGAATAGTCCTTTTAATCCATATTAATGTCTGACATAACAGTGTGAACGATATTGCTTCTTTAATGAATCTGTCTCAAATAAATATAAATAATACTTTATTCATGTTATTACTGATTGAGTTATATTCCAATATAATTAATATAAAGGATCTGATGAGATTGTTTTAAAAACATTCAATGATGAAATAAATATGTACTAATAATGCAAAAACCACACAAGAAGCAGTATAACATTATATGTAAGATGAAATGATGTGAATAGTTATATAAAAAGTAATTGCAGATTACTTAGAGATTCTCTCATTTACACTGTAATCCTACTTTCATTTTGATTATGTAATTATTTGTTCATTTAATCTTATTAATAATACTTCACCTTACTTTATGCAAAATTTGTAGATAAAGATATATGGAATAATTATTGGCAAACCTGTTGTAAGTGCTGGTGTCCACTCCTGCTCACCAGTGGCACCCCATAAAAGTGTTAAACTCTTATTAGTTCCAGATGAATTAGTATTTGAAACTTTATCTCCGCCTATCAGATTTATTCGTTGAAACTTCCCTTTTGTATCTATAATAAAAAATATATATGTATATTGTGCAGTTAAAAATCACATATAAATATTCTATGTATCATTGAGAGTACTAACGATCTTGAAATCCAATTTGAGATGCTGATCTTGATATATGATGTGGATTACTAGTTGTTGTAATTTGCTCCATAGGAGATCCACTCAATGTTGAGGTGGTATCACTCTGGGGTTCAGGATGTGGCTGAGTTGGAACAGCTTGATAATGATGTTGTTGTATTAGAACACCCGATGGACCTAAAATTATTATTACTGTAAAATATGATATAACGATCTAACAATTAGAGTTACCTTTAGGAAATATATGACTCCATCTGCGTCTATTGCTAGTTAGTTTTATAGTAACATGTGAAGGATCAAAAGGATTGATAAGTGCTCTGCTAGGTCTGACTATATTTGTAGGCTGAGAAATTGAATTAGTTGGACTACCAGCACTTCCAACAACTGGTCTGAATGGTGGTGATATTTCAGAATCAGTTATATCACTTTTAATAGATGTTCTTGACACTATCAAAATAACAAATTTTAAATATATAACATTCCATTTTGATTAGTGAAAATATTTAAATCAATATAATTACATACCATTTGCTTCCTCATTAGAATCGATATTCTCAACACTTTCTGCCCTATGAGGTATAGAGATTGCAGCACTTCTTGCTGCTGCTGGTATTAATGCATGTGTTTCAGGTGGTGGATGATGAATATCAGGATCTGACATTTTACGTTTTAAAAGCTTTAATATGTGAGCATTGTTATGAGTCTCAATGCATGCTACACTTGTTTTTTTGGTTCTCGTAGTAACTCTTTGCAAACTACTTTAATTAAAGATTGAAATTACATATATTATAAACAAAATTAAAATAATATGCGAGTAATAATATATAATACCTTGAAGTGTGAACATGAGGTAATTGAAAAACTTGAGCGTCATAAGCGTCATAATCAAATAAAGAATTGTGCAAACATTCCCTGGGATCTTCTTGTAAAAGTTTAGTTTTACAATTTAATTTGCCATTATCCGTAGAATGTTTAGACACCTTTTGAGGCAATTTAATGCGTGGTATAAAAGTAGAGTAAGGTATTTTTTTATTCGTCGAATAAAAACTAAGATTAATCCAATGAGGCATACTGTAGTCATCTGGTGCATTTATAGACGTATCCTTATTATGAAACTATAATAATATGTTTCTCATAATAATATATTCCTTTTTTAATCAATAAATATAATGAATACTACAAGATAATAGAATGTATTACCTTTAATAAAGGAACTGCATGCAATGGTTGTTCTCCAACACAAACTAAATCGCTATTTACACCATTGTCAATAACTCTTTGTTTAGTAACATTAGTCAATTCTCGATCAACTTCAAATACACCTACACCTGGAGTTATTACAACTGACAATTGACCTGTTCTATCAAAACTACGGTCGAGATAATGTTTTTCAAAAACTGTAAACAAAATATAAATTAAAAAATATAAAATGTGTAAATACTTTGTTTATATAATTATTGATTATTACCATTTAATGACATATTCAGGACTTCTAAAAAATTGCCTTGGGCTGCTGTAGAGTTAACTGCTTTAGGCATAACAATATCTGGCCTTTGATGATATTCCAAAACAATTTTTTGATAATCAGTAAACAATTTACGTAATTGTACCAATACATTACTCCAATCTTCATATCTTTCATTCTGTACTGCTACTCTATAAAAATCTTCATAGAATCTACCTCTATAATCATGTTGTAAACAATCTCTCATATGATTTGGAAACTCTTCTAAACTCGTGGCATTATAAAATGTTCTTGAGAACAAAACTATTGTTACTTCATGATTACTACCATTCTTTTTCCATTTTTGAAATAGATCTGCTAAAAATCCATTAACTGCTTTTTCAAAATAAAGATCGCCATGGATGTCAAAATCCCACATTTCTGAACTCATTTGAATAAAAAGGTAAACCATACTTGTAGAAGAACGAAAGACTACCTAAATCATATAATAATGAAACAAAGTTAACATATAATTTAATTCTTAATCTTTTATATATATAATAAATAAATGTAAAATCTTTTTTATACCTTAGTATCATCAGTGATAACACCACAAGCAACTCTATCACCTTGAGACCACATTTCATAAACTTGGCAACGAATACTACCTCCACAAAATTCAATCTTCTTATTCATATAAACACAGGTATTCACCTAAAATTAAACAAATACATAACAAATAAGAAGGAATCATGATAATAACAAATAAAAATAAAAATATACCAAGCTATTTTTTAATCTCCACATTTCACTGCGTCCCATATATTGATCTTTGAATGTTAGCTCAACAGAGTCTAACGCTACATCTTCTGGATTGACAATATTCATATAAACATCAGCAAAAGTTCTTAATTGAAACATAGTTGCTACATTATTTTCAACACTAATTGTTTCACGTCCTTGAAGATCTTCTTTAAATAATGTAACTTGTAGAAGTAAGCGGCTAAATTCATCCTCTGGATGATAAATTTCAACAACATCACCAGTCTTAATTCCTGGATAATCTTTGGGATTAATTATTAAATCTTCGCCACTAAAGTTTTTTTGATGTACAATTAATTTAAATAACTTCATTTTTAACCCATCACTTTAAAAATCAGCTGTGGTCTTATATTATTATACATATATATGGTGAATGAGGAAAGTTTCTAGATTTGTCACTAGGTGGCGCTTCAATCGTCGTTAATTTTAGCTCGGTATCACACATCTATGTAGTCTTTCGTATGTTTACTGACGGAGATCTCTATCTCTGTCCTTGTTATGTTGGTTTTCTTTGAAATATGTTGGCAATTCTGACAATTTGACAGACATTTTGCCATGATTTGTAAACAACATTGTTTGTTTGGTAACGAAGATAATTCAAAATTGAGTCATGCGTTTGAGATTAGTCCCTTGAAAGATATTTCTTCATTTATTTATATTAAGAGAAATCAACTAGCATCAATAATACTATTTTTGTTGAAATTAAATGGTCGTCATGTGAATTGTACTTTGTAACATTTATTAGAAAATTACCAACAATCACAATAATAAATCAATGAACGTTTTCTATTATTTAAAGGATTTCTGTTTAAAATGGCTACATTAAAAGGTGTTTTTCCTAACCTACGTAAGTACCAAACGATATATTTATTTTGATATATAAAATAACATTTATGTTATGTGTATGTATATATTGTTTATTATTTAGCAACAAGCAGAAAGAAAAATTTTATACAAGAAAATGTGAAAAATTTACGACGAATGGAGCAGTGTTTTCATTCCAATAAAGAAACCGATGAATTAGACAAATTTCAGATAAACAGACATAGAAAAAAAATAAATAAATATTCCAACATCAGTGCTAAAGTGAATACCAGTTTCCATGGAAATTTACAAAACAATCATATGGAAAATCTAATGGCTAATAAAGAAACAGAAATTATGGAGAAAGAGCCCATCCGAAAGATTAGTACTCCTATACTTAATAAAAAGAATTCTGTGCCTACAAAAAAACCACTTAACTCGTTAACAAATAAATTGGCAAACAAGCAAACGAAAAAGGAAAGTTTAAATACTAAAAATGTCCAAAGACCTAAAATAAAAGTTATGTCTGATCCAAATTTTATCCAGAAGTCTCAAGATGATGAAAATACCTCTCCTTTGCCTGCAAATACCAAATACAAACATAAAGGTATTCAAACGTTAGAAGAAAACCAGATTAATCAGCTTTATATGGAAGGTGTTATCAGGTAACTAAAACTTCAAATATATATATACATTTATAGCAAAAAATATAAACTTAAACAAATTACAGATATCCTACTAAGAGAAATATCGAGAACAACGAGGAAAAGAATAAAAATGAATCTGATCAATTATTGAATAGTCCATCAGAATTAGAAAACGTACATGCATTTACCAATACAGAATTAAACGATTCAAAAACTACAGAGATCAATCAAAAATCTGATTTAGTAAAGTCATGTAAAAATCGTAATACTGTTGCTGGTAAAATAGCTGTACAATTGAATAATGGTGTAGTTCCTACAAATTATCGCAAGGGAGTTGTCCCCAAGTATGATGTTAAAAGTAACTTCCCAGAAGTTTTATTTCTATCTTTTATTTTTGTTCGTACATTTTATTTCTTTCTTTAAATGATACTAATAATATATTTATAGATATCTAGAGTATATAATTGTTCAAATCAATGAATTTTTCTAACAGATATATTAGGGATAGAAAAGAAGCTCTACAAAAAGAAGAAGAAGCTAAAGCAGCTGCATTCTACCCTGAGTGTCCAGAAGGTCATGTCCCCTTACCGGACCACGAGCGTCAGGAAACACTGCGAATGCTGAAAAAAAGTATATTTCCTAAATCAACTACGCTATATGAGGCATTTAAAACAAATCATCTGTGTATATTTTTCATAGCTTTAAAGATGAAATCAAATGTCTTAAGTAATCATTTGTTTTATCTTCAAAGCTTTCAAAAAATATAATCAGATAGGCTTATGTAAATACTTCATTAGATATATCTAGAAATAACATATTTCATACGTAACTTATGAAAATAATGATTACAGATTATCAAGATTATGTTAACGAATTAAATATGATGCCGATAAAAACAGATACACTCAGAGCGCAAAGAAGAAAAATGGAAATTGAAAAACAGTTGAATAAGTTAGAGGAAGGTATTAAAGTATTTTCAAGGCCTAAAGTTTATGTGAAAATAAATGCTTAAACGTTAGATTCGTAGCAAATATACAAAAAAAAAAAGAAATCAAAGTACAAAAAAGGGAAGCATTTTGAAGATAATATATAAATAAAATGTTATATATTACATAACAATTAATAATATTTGTGTAGTTGGTTATAAATGTCAATTGTTGTTTCATAAATCAACAAATAACTTGTACATACATTTAAGATGAAAATTATCTAGTCTTAATTATATTTATAATTAGCATGTAAATTGCAATCTTCAAATGACACAATGAAATTATATATATATATATATAAATATTATATGTATTTTTCCAACAGTAAAAATATATATATTTATGTTTTAACGTAATATAATAGAACAGATCTATACTAATTGATTAAACTCCGTTAAATGTTTTATCTATAAATTCAAGACTAGATTTTATTTAAAACGGATCATTTGCTAACAAGCTATTATATTATCCATATCTTATTTCATCATATTATCCTTTGGTAGGAGTTAAGAAACTTTTGTCAATAATATGTACAAAAGATATTGGATCAAATTGTAGTTTATCTAAGTGATAAAATATTTCTTCTCTTTCGTACCATCGTTTAATGTCAAAATCATCAAAAAATATTGATATTTCTCGTTTCACAGATTCTGGCGAATCTATAATAAGAGAATAAATTTAATTATTCACCTTTAGATTCAATAAATTATATAGAACAATTACTTTAAACATATCTTACCCGAGCCATGAGTTGCATTTCTAGTATCTGAGAGACCAAACATACCTCGAATACTATTTGGTTCTATGTATTGCGCTTGATATGTTTTAGTAGGGCCCATCAATCTTCTCCATCGTAGTATAGCATCATGGCCAGCTAATATATGAATATCTGATGGGCCACTGCACATAAAAGTTAATAGACGATTGTAAAAGAACTTATCTTTGTGATCTGAATAAAATAATGCTGCTTCATCGGATGTCAATGTCGTTCTGCGCGTTCTAACAACTTTGAAATTATTTTCAATTATCAAATCACGAATTTTCTGAAAAGATGCAAGTTATTTTTAAATGCATTTATCATTTTTACACCATACACATAATCTGTATATACGTGTATATATCTATATATGTATCTTTTTTTTTTAATTGAATGATAAAGGTAAACATTGAATGCCTAGGTTAATATTTTACCTGAAGCACGAAAGGGGTTTTAACAACATGTGGCTTAAGTATAGCTAATGTTAATTCAAGAGATTTTCTTGATTGCATTTCATTATCATTTAACTATTACTGATTGTAAAAGTTACGATTGATATTTCATTCATACTTGGTTATTAATGTTTATATAAATAATAATCACGACCCCCCATATTCAATTGTGAAGTAATTGCTTAATATATCCAGCAGATAGCGTAAGCATCGTGGCGCTATTTATTTGATTTAATTTTCAATTGAAAAATACAAATAAACAATAGTTAACATAATTAATTGATAAAATAAAATGTAAGACGATATTTTGAAGATATAAGAGTATATGGATTAGTATTTAATTAAATAACAACTTATTCACACATTCATGGCAAATAGCAATTTATTTAATATTCTTATTCCGGTCGATCAATAAATACCAGTTGATTTTACATAGTAATAAAACAATTTTTGTGTAAACTATTTTAACATATAGGAAAACATATAAATCAAAATACGACACATCTCTGCTACGTTCAAAATTCTCATTCTCTATCACGAATAATTAACAAATATTATACCCATGAATAGAGAACTATCTATAGTTCATTATCTTATTCGTAGTTTCGAAGTTCTGTAGTTTTAATTACTACTTTTTTTATATTCAGAAAAATATTAATTGTTCAATTAAAATAGTCATTTGAATAATATTTGAATATTTTTCTTATATGACAAAATAAAATTGATAAAAGGAAAGATCCTGTTCCTACTGGTAGGAAATTAACTGGTACACCATCATTGACTTCCGGTGATATTTCCATTACAAGTCCATTGACGCTCAAAACTATCATTCGATTAATTAAATACTATTATTGGTATCTACAATCTGAGGAGTTTCCATAGTAGTTGAAGCTGAAACGACTGGAGCAGACATAATGGAAGAAGAATTAGAATAAACTGTCTGCCATGCAGTCGCTAAGAACCCTTTTTCGGCATCAGTATTTTTCTTGAAATTATGTACAGAGTAGCGATTGTATAAACCCCATATGCTGTTCATCAGTTTGCTGTTATATTTCAAGGGTGTAAGTTCCAAACCTAAAATTAGTATCAATCCAAAAGAAAAGTTTAGTTTCCATTAATTAAATTATTTAAGGCCATACAATTTTCCTTTCAAATATTCCATTTATTTTTCATGTATATTTATATATGTTTTTTTCTTTCTTTTTAAATTTTAATTCTTCATTATTTATCACGAGCTGTATATTTAAAAAATTTATATTTTGGTAATCAATATTTTTTTAAGACTAAATATGTGTGTTACACTAGAAATCGTAATATTATAACAAAGTAATCTTATTGAAATAAAATAACACAATGAATTTGATATGATTTATTAGTAAAATGATATATCTAAATTTGAATTACCTTCTGGGTATAATCTACCATTAAATATGTTTTCTTTGCTTGCTTTTTCTTTTCCTTCTATCGGTGATATCATATTATTATCGTCATGTTGTTCATTGCATCGGACTTTGCACGCTGCAAACGCTGCTTGTGGTACCGCAGCCATTTTTTCACAATCTAGAAGAGGGCAGTGAATAATTATCAACAAATTTTATTAGTATAAACATTTAATTATAATTTTTTGCAATATATTTTCAATATAAATGCAAGTGTTTCCAATTTGATGCTATTAGGAATCGACAATAATCGATCGATATATGAGAAAATATCCATTGTTATATTCTTTTATTCAATAAGTATAGAAAACTTTTCTTATTTTATAAAAAAAAAAAAAATAAATAAATAAATATCATTGAAAATGATAAGAATAAAACACCAACCTTCGCAACTTTCAAAAAGCAGTTCTTTAAATAGATTTTTCAAAAAAGTCCTATCTGCGTATTCAGCAATTTTGTTTGACCTAATTGAAGCTTGATTTTGAAATATTTCCACCGATTCTTGATTTGGATGTTTTTCAATGATTGTAATGCTCATATAGGCACAATTAGATTCCTTTGTAGTGATCATCGACTGATAAACATAAATATCGTATAATATAAAATATAAAGGTAAATGTGTGTTGAATGTACCTGGTATGGTACAAACAATTTTGAATATTCTTGTTCTATCAGCACTGAAAGTAACAATAAGGAGAATAAAAATGAAATGAAATATTTTTAATGCGACGAATTCATCCCGAGAGACGAACATGTACTAAACCACGTATGAACATTTAATATGATTTATACATTTATCTATTTGACCGGCAAGAAAGAGTTGTGTGTTGCGAGCGAGTTCAAAAGATAAAGAGCAAAACTTTGTTATCCGTGTCTCTCAGAACGAAATATCGTTGGCCTTCGAAATCTTTGCTAGTGGTGTTGTTGATCAAAGACCAGCACATATTAAAAACATTATCATTTACAATACGTATAAACTTTTTATGTGAATACTGTGATCTTTTGTAAACTTTTGTGGTGCGTACATGCACTGTACACTTGCTTTTTAATAAAGATTCCAATCACAAACAATAATAATAATAGTAATAGTATAATAATAATAATTTTCTTTAACTCTATAATATGACCGAGATAAGTAGGAGTATATTACATAATTAGAATTTTGAGAAAAGCTATCAAATATTTCATAACAAAGGTCCTACCACACAAGTAGAGAAGTCTTGCGAAAATTATTATTATCATGACCTAACTTTTGCTCTAGCGTATCATCATCATCATCATTAAATGCGTCAACAATTTTAACGAGTGGTTAGAGACTCTCGTTACGTTTTATATTTTGACAATTTAAACTTCCGCTGAAATATTGACTAATTTGCTCATACGATGAGAATGCATTTATTTCATCTTATATCATCCAAACATATTATTATTGTTTAATGTTAATGATAATAAATGATGATTATTCCGGTTCTTTTCCTTAAGTGTATCTATCGTCTTGTAGATTTCAGTTAAAAATAATAAAAACAGAAAAACAACAGCAGATAATGTTTTTACGTAATCAATCATAGCTTGTATTAAATCACATTTTAAATTCCAATTAAATTTAACGAAATATCAATGATCTAACAAAGGAAAATTACGTATAATTTTGACGGATATTGAAAAACAAATGATAACGTACATTTTAAACTCCGCCTAGTTAATATCTAGATACCTAGATAATAGCTAGCTGGTCCCAAGCCCAGATAAAGGAGGAGGGTTCGAGGGAGAGGCTAGCAACCTACCCTCGGTAAAATAGAAATAATCGTTCTCAAAACTAACTTCACAGCCTCTTTAGGCTGTAAAGTAATAAAAAAAAAAAAAAAACAATAAAATAAAATACATATGCAATTGTATAATAAGATTATCAGTTTTCTTTTCTAAAAATAGAACGTATGCGCTCTCAGGAACGGGAACATTGGCGGGATTTGATATTTGTGGCAATGAACTTTCAAGTTCCTAACACCAACTATTAATATTAATAATAAGAATAGAACATATTAAATTAAACTGGATCCTATACTTAATGATTAGAGAGATATAAACACAAAACTTTAGTTGACTTCGACGTTCTTCGTATCATGGAAGATTTTTATTCATCGAATGAGGGTGGATGTACAGAAATCTCGGACTCCTTTTCGTTTCATACTCAAATGTTCGCAAAAACAGCATAGACAAACGTTCATAAATGTATCTTTTTTTTTCTTTTTTTTTTTTTTTTAATTATACTCATCATACGTCAAATTTTTGGATTGCATGCGCTTTTGTTTTTTTTTTTTGTTATCATTACAAAGGTTTAATTTGCTACTCGCATCTTTGCCAGTTATAAACGCATAATAATTATATCAGAGTGATACCCGATCAGACCAGCTGGAAACGAGTTTTGACATATACTTGACATCTCTAAAATATATATATATATATATAAATATACATAAGTATATATATATTTATATATATATGTATATATGTGTGTGTATATATATATATATCTCCTAAGTGCTTGTATATGCTACGACACATCGCGAAATTAAGACGGGGGGCGTTAAGTACGTACATACTTGTTTTTTCTTTTCTTTACTTTACTTTACTTTACTTTACTTTACTTTACTTTACTTTACTTTTTTTTTCTTTCTTTCTTTTTTACTTACTTATTTTTTTAATTGTTTAATTTATACAACAATCAATGTGTGTGTGTGTGATCTTGGAAATATCCTTACGCAGTGCCGTATATAATACAAAATCTATTTGGTTTTTAACCCATAGATCTCACAAACGTCACTTCAAAGCGATATATCATATGTATACATACATGATCATCATCATACGTACTTTTACATACATTCATACATACACACGCGCGCGCTCATGAACGCACACATCCACACACACATATATATGTATATATATATATATATATATATATATTATGTATATGTATATATGATTTTACTTCGGTCGTGTCGTGCAGATGCGCGTTTATTCAGTCATAAGATCGAATAAACGATGCAATGTATTTTAAAAGAAAGAAACGATGTTTAATTCCTTTCTCTTATAATCGATATATAAGTTCGTTTAGGGATAATAATAATCATCGATGAAAAGAACTTTTTGAGAAATGGGACAGAAGTTAGAAATGCTTTTAACACTTTACAAAGACGAGTTTTAAAAAAAGTCAATTATTATTATTATCATTATTATTATTATTATTATTATTATTTTCTTTTTTTTCTTTTCTATTCTTTCGCTTCGGCCGGTTTCGCTATTTATTCTTTACAGTTTTTTTTTTATTTTTATTTTTTTTTTCTATGCTTTTCCTTTTCTTTTCTTTTCTTTTCTTTTCTTTTCTTTTCTTTTCTTTTCTTTTCTTTTCTTTTCTTTTCTTTTCTTTTCTTTTCAATATCCAATACCCTGTGTTACTGCGCCAACTTTTAATCAAAAGAATTCTTCTTTCCACGTTTTTTTTTTTTTTTTGATCTTCCTACGCAAATTGTAATCGTACAATAAATTTTCTTCACTTATTTTCTTTCTTTCTTTCTTTTTTTTTTTTTTTTTTTTTTTTTTTTTTTTTTTTTTGGAAAGGAGAAAAGGGAACACAAAAGAGCTCACTTTCATACACATTTTTCTCTTTCTCGCGAGTCAGCATTTTTCCCCCGAGGAAAAAAATTTTTTTATTCTCCTCTTAGTGAGATAAACATCGGATAAATATATCCATTTTGGTTTTGCACATAGAATAACAATTATGCGACGTCTGTTTATTTTAATTTTTTTTTTTTATGTATTTCTTTTATCTTTCTTTTTTTTTTTTTTGTTTTGTTTTTGCTTTTTCTTTTAATTTTTTTTTTTTTACCGCAATACGTTTTTCTTTTCTTTCTCACCACCACCACCAGCCCCCTTCCTCAACACAACACACTTTCTTCTTATTATTTTCTTTCTTCCCTTCTTATTTTTTTTTTTTTTCTTACTTTTATTTTCTTTTTTTTTTTCTTTTTTTTATTCTTTTTCTTTTTCAATTCACTTTCATAATTCACTTTTGCAGCATCGTTGCGTCATAAATAGAACACAAGGTAACCATTTCTCGATATTATATACGTGTTACCCTCTTTAGACGCATTTTATGTGGCTCACGATGTTTTTTCTTTTTTTTTTTTTTCCTTAGGACTATCATTTTTATTCGTATTATATATACATATATATGTATATATATATATATTTTTATTTATTTGGTTATTCCAAGTTTTTTAACACTAGATATACCAGAGCAATCATTTTGACTGGTCGGGCTGGGCCAAGCCATTTTAATTCAAAATTTCTACTTCATGTAACATTTGATTTCTGTAAATATAATTAAGCGTGTTTTGTCATTTAAAAATGTCTATAAATCCATTTATCTATTGAAATTATTATTGTTAAATATTTTTTCTTATTTTTTTTAAGAGTAAATCAAAACTGTAAGCCTTAAAAAGCATTTTTTTTTTTTTACATATATATATACACCAATCATTTTGACTAGTGTGGTAGAAATAGGTATACTGAAAATGGTGGTATATCTAGTGTTAAACAGTTTATTGTATCTTAACAACACCTTTTTTTATTCGCGTTTTAATTATTATAACTTTGGTATTGTGTAAGTTAAATAAAAAAGATGAACAAAAAATTCAAATTCTTTTCTTCCCTCTTCTTCCATTAAAAAAAGAAAACAAAAAAAAAGAAAAGAACGATTCAATCAAAACTATCAATGAATCTTAATCGATAGTTATTTAAAATGCTTTTTTTTTTTTTTTTTTTTTTTTTTGTTAATAAGGTGATAATGAAATGAAGATCTTGAAAGAAGATTGATAAATTATCTTTTAATCGTAATCGACAAGTCAACGCGTTTATTTACGAATTTTTTTTATCTCTTTATTCTTTTTTCTTTCTTTTTTTAAAAGAGGGGAGAAAGATATATTCAATTAGTACATAGATACAATATTACCATGTTTTTTTTTTGTTTTGTTTTTTTTTTCTTTTTCTTTTAAAAGAATAGCGTACGTACGCGCGCGCGATTACATATATTTATCTATAATATATATATATATATACTAAATAATATATATATATATATTTTTTGGTACATCTAATAGAATTTTATCACGCAACGCACACACGCACGCACCTATCCCACCCTACCCCACCCCACCCCACCCCACCAACGTAATTTTCTACTCACAATTTCAGTAAATTACGTTTTATTCGTAAGAGAAACAGCGAAGACACGACAGATTAAAATAATCGTAATGTTTTGATCATTTTCTTTTCCATAGATTACATCATCATCATCATCATCATCATCATCATCATCATCATCATCTTGAGCCAATATGTGAAAGAAGAAAAATTCACTTCCTTTTTTTCACAAACCTTATTATATATATATATATATAGATAAAATTTGTAAGTAACAATAAAACAAGATAATCGATTGTATGCAAAAGTGAACAACTCGTATTTTGTTTTTGTTCCTCTTTCTTTTGTTGCTTCCTCATCGTTTTTAAACGTCGTTTCATTTTCTTTTCTATTCACCATATATGACAGAGATTTACACAGAGTTATGTATATATATGACAAAATTCCAATTTGATAATTTATCGATTGCGAAAAATGCGCTTGGTCGTTATTAGTATAATAATTAATACGGCTCCGCATTCGAACGGTTCCGAGCATTTCGAGTTCCATTGAGTGGAACCAGCGAAATAGAGCAAAATGACGATCCTAGTTTTAATTATTTGTCTTTAATGTTCGAATATATAATTGTATTATAATGAAAATAATATACCGACAGTTGATTTATACAATTGTTTAATACTATTGATAACAAAAAAACAAAAACAAAAACAGTATTTTACGATTCGATTAAGATCAAACTGAAGTTAAAGTTCTTCTCTTGAATAAATTTATCTTCAATTTATGCAATTTATGCAATTTATTCAAGCAAGCAAACAAGTAAGACGGTTGAGAACAAACGATGATGAACTTATGTGCGTTAAAATGAAATTATTTTAAATACAAATCGATCGTCGTACATTTATATACAGAGGGTAACACGCAACATATATATATATATATATGTATATACATATACATATATATATATATAGGATAAATGAGATTATTTAGATACACGTAGTATTCAAGAAATTCGGCTTTGATTCGGCATTGACACTTAATTTATCGAATATAATCTGACACAAATATGAGAGATAGCTACACTCATGATACTCGGTGCATAAATTATCTTATCTTTTTTTTTCTCGTTTTTTCTTTTTCTTTTTCTTTTACTTTTACTTTACTTTACTTTACTTTACTTTACTTTACTTTTTTAATCTTTTTCCCCCTTTTTAATTAACATCTTTCTATCATCTACTTTCTTTAACTTTATTCTTTTTATTTTTATTTTTATTTTTAAATCTTTGTTTCCTTCTTTCTTTTTTTTTTCGCGTGTTACTCTATTCAATAGTAAAGGAGTTGTTAATTTTTTTGTTTTTTTGTTTTGTTTCTTCTATAGGTCATTTTTATTTAAAATTCCTTCAATCGCGTGGAAAGAGAATCTTTCATTTCAATATCGAATTATAAATTCATCTGAATTTGCGTACATTTAAGGAAATTTAAAAAAAACAAAAATAAAACAATTAAAAAGACGACAAATTAAAACAATAGTTATACATATAAGAAACAAATTAACTTCATATATCATTGAAAACAAAATGAAAAAATAATATCACAGTCTAAACAAAACAAAAAATTACAAAGAACGCGGAAGACTACGAAAGAGATTGTTAGAGAATAAACGAAAAAAAAAAAACCAAAAAAACCAGATAATGTAATGCACTGAAGAATAGTGTGAAAAATATCACAAGAACATAAAAAAAAAAAAAAAATGGTATTTTTACAGGTATCATACGTGTTAAATAATACGAACATTTTTATCTGTCGCTATAGAATATAAAGAAGTGTATCTATGTACGTACCGAAAGCGGTGTTTCGTTAAAATACGACAACGCCATTTTGTTTGTTTTTCACACTAAAATAGATCACGCTGATTAATCTATTTTATTTTATATTTTTGTCTTCTTTCTTTTTTTTTTTTTTTTTATTCTTATTCGTGATATAAGTGTGATGATATTATTTTTAGAAAATTAATGGCAACATTTTATTTCAGTCGTGTAATAATGTGATCGTATATAATTAATCGTAATTAAAACCATTTTTCCACGGATCTGATGAATTGTCGCTAAAATTGCAACACCTGATTTATGTCGAACGTCTAGTAATACAATAAATTAGTTCGTATCGTAGGGCGTTCAAATTCATTTCATTTGGTACAAGAATGTTAGATATAAACGTTATATTATAATTAAATATTTCCGCATGAGATAAAAATATTTGGAAAAATGTTATTTGTTTCTTTTTCCCTTATTAATTCGTTCATTAAATCTCTTAATAATGCAATATATATATGTATATATTGGATGATATTATATCTCCGATTAAAACACACAATTTTGTTTGAAAATGAAATTCAACCGATTTGTCGTTACTCTCGCTTGATAATTTTTTTTTAATCGTGACTTTGATTATGACGATCGTGTCTCCTTGACATTTTTCTCCCATTTTTTATTTTCATTTTCAATATGTCCTATAATATTGAATAGAAGCAAGCCTGATCATCTTTTCCCCCATTGGTATCGATAAATTTAATGATTGTTTCTTTTTTGTTTTTTTTTTTTTTTTTATAATTTTGCAAACTCGTTGAGATTCAATTAGTTTGTCGAAAAGAGAAGAAAAAAAAAAAAACAAACAAACAAACAAACAATGAATTTCATACCAACGGAAAATAATCAAAACTAATTAGTGATATTGTCGTAATATGCCTATAACCCACCAGCTTTGTATTATTTTGTTTCGTTTTTTTTTTTTTGGTATAAATTCATGATTATATAATCCATTTATTATATCAACCAATGAAATAGACATTTTACTATATATATATATGTAAAGAAAATATCTATGCGAGAATAGTGCAATAAATATTATCGATCGCATGTTATATCAATTCTAAACTGACTGTTTATCGGCATATGCTGTCTATGATAAGTTTGCAAATAATTGTGCGCTGCTATATATATATATATATATATATATAGTTCGATACTTATAGTTGCTCTTGTTAAGAAAAAAATGAAAAAACAATCGCGTTATAAAATTAGGAACATATAAACTGCTTTGAAATCTATTCTCGATATTTGCATTAAATATGACTTAGAATTCGGTACAAAAGCAGCGAGACGAGATATTCTGCAAAGTGCATCTGCAACATTCGATAATATAGTAATTATAACAATAACACTTCACTGTCTTCGACATAATAAATATACAATGAACAATGATTTGAGTTAGCACTCTCGAATCTACTTATTCAATGGAAGAAACAAGAATGGAACTCTCTATTATCTTTAATATAAACAATCACACTTCTCCTCTTCTATCCTCTCCTCTACTACTGTGTTGTAACATTAAAATAATAATAATAATAATAATAATAATAATAATACAGGGTTACATACAATGCTCTAAAAATAAAAAACGAAACAATAATGATTAACAATTATCGAAATGAAATTATACCCACGACTGAACAAACGCCGTTTTTTTTTTTTTTTATATATATATATCTTCCTTTCTTCTACTTATAACTTCATTTATATTTAATAAACGTGGCAATCAAAGACACAGTCTATTATTATTTTTTTTTTTATTCCCTCATGCCGTGTCAATTAGTTATTTGTACATTTGCATGCATCTATCAATGCATCTTCGATATCCTTTTAAATTTATTTCCTTTTCGTACTTTTCATGAATAGTAATCATAGCAGAGATATATAGATACGCGTACGTACTATTATAATATGAATTTTGTATACTTTGTCGTAGTAGTATGTCAATTGTTTAATACATGGAAATTAAAAAAAAAAAAAAAAACAACAAAACAAAAAAAACGTACATATCCCCAAACAAAACGTATAAGAAAGATGCCATCGGCGTGTCATTTTCTCTTCTACGACGGAATAATTTGGCCAAATACTTAACACATCGAACAGAACACGATTAAATAAATTGTTGTTCTCTAATGTTTTGATTTACGGTGCTACTTAAAAGCGTGAGTAAGCAGCTTTTATAAGAGCATTTTTATTTCAAATAAGATTAACGCGCCTGCAGAAGTAGCCGAAGGCATAGAACGAGCATTTGTATATAGTGTGTGCGTGTGTGTAATTTGTCAAAAGAATTCAGATCGATCTATTATAAATTAATATATAAAAGGAAACAATACTATTAGTCACGTAATAGATATAGAAATTAATTTGATGCACTTTCAAAATAAATAAAGTATTTATTTATTTATTTATGGCATCGAATTAATTTCTATACATTAATATTACGATTCCGAGTATTTCTTATAACTTGTATAAAACAAACAACTCTTTAACGGGGAAACGTTCTACATGTTATGTCAAATTATACACATTGCCAATTTTTCTTCTCTCTGTCTCTCTCTCTCTCTCTTTCTCTTTCTCTTTCTCTCTCTCTCTTTCATAAATAGATCTCAATCCCCCATGCGAGTGAGTGCACGGCGAAATATTTAATACTTTTTGATCTAATACAGTCTTGGAGAGTTATAATACCGTGATGTATGTATATATATATATATATATATATATATATATATATATATATATATACGAAGAACCGAGGATCTTTTAAATTTGTTTAGTGTGTCACAGGTATAAACTTGATAACTATTAATGACGAATCTTACCAGCTGACATTAGACAGTCATACGAAAGTCGGACTCGAGACGATACTTGAAACACGCGGATGAGATTCAGAAATAGGTGGTTGTATAAGTTTGTGCTCATGTTATACATAACTGTACGAAACTGTGCTTTCGGTACAGCAGCGCGACGTCTAATAATTCGTAATAGTTCATCGAATATCGGAAATGTTGGTTTTGCTGCCAAATATTTTCACCAGTTGATCCTCGTAATCATCTATGTTGCGTTTCATCAATTCCATACAAGGGCCCAATAAACGTTCGAATGCTTCAACATCCAAAACTGAAATTGAAAAAATCAATTATTCGACATATCAACGTTTGCTTGTTTCTTTGATCTAAATTCAAATTCAATTATATATATATGAACACAATGTGTGTTCACAAAAATGAAAGAAAGAAAGAAAGAAAGAAAATATTTGACAGAATACTTACAGGCCAATTTTACATCTCCTACGGCATAGGCCGAAGCTGCGCGAGGTTTGTGCGTCACCAATGCTAATTCACCTAAATATCCTCCAGCTGGAACTCGATTAATCTAAGAAAAGAAAATTATTCGAAATACATCGATAAAATATGACATTTTCATTAGTATCACTTTAACGACCGCTAGCCTATAAATAGGCTTTTGCTTGCCGATGTCGATGCTTACAGAACAAAAATTTATTATATCAGCTTTTAGTTATCGGTTGACATTGCGATAAAGAGTCACTATCATTATACGAACAGTAATTTGTTATTAGAATCTTATTTAGCATCCAATTAAAATTTGTTAGTAGAATCTATGGCTGAACTGTCGGTCAGATGTATATATAGCTGTTGAAACAACCCTAGGCGGTCGGTAAAGTGGTAAGATATGATCAAACGAATGAATATTTTTGGTTATTATCGCTATACCTCAATTTCGCGATTATTTTCACCCAATATAGTAATTCTAACAACGCCGTCTTCAACAAAGTACATTCCATCAGCCGTATCTCCTTGTCTAATAATCTGTTCACCATCTGAATACTGTTTGGGTACAAGCGCATCGGCGAGGTTCATGCGCTCGTAAGACTGTAACACGTTCGTAAATTATAAATGAAAATAATAAAATCAATATTTTAAATTAGTCGTTCTCAAAATATAATTTGTTAAGTCCAGAGGATCTTGTGACCCTATACCCAAATTAATATTCAAGAAATTTCTCAATTTCTCAATATTATCTACTACTACTACTACGGTAAGTATCTATATATATATGCACACATATAGAAAAGCCACTTAAAGAAAAGCTCTTTTAAAAGTGTAATATAATCCTCAGATAAAAAAGAAAAAAAATGTTTAAGAACGACCGTTTTAGTCTCTTCAGTATATATTATTGATTTTCATTAAAGTTCTCATACGATTTAAAAGATGATACTCACTTCGAGCGATTTAAGCATGGGAACTTTATTAATCAAATCTTCGTACATCTTGCGCTTTTTATATGCAGATTTGAGAAGAATTCGACGGAAAGTTTGTCTATCCATGGCCCAAAGTGTACCCGGAGTAACAGCTTTAACACTAGCCGCTCTAGGCATGTTATAAAGAAGGGCCAATTCCCCAAAAGCACCGCAATTATCGTAAGTGTGAATATTATTTTCTACGCCGTTAGCATCCTTAACGTATACTTCGAACCTCCCTCTGAGAAAATAAATAACAAAATAAAAAGATAAAAATGTCCTTTAATAGTTACTCTGTGCACTTGACGATGTTATATTTTAACACTAGATATATCAGAACAGTCATTTTGACTAGTATGGTAGAAATAGGTATACTGAAAATGATGGTATATATCTAGTGTTAATTAAAATTTGTATTTTTATATATGATTACCTTTCGATGACATAAAAATTGTCACCATCGTCACCCTGTCTAATGATAAATTCTTCTGGCTGAACAGTTTTCTCAAACATCGCGTCCAGCACGTCAGCCATTTGTTCCTGTAAAACGAAGGACGCGTCGATAAATTAATTTTCTTCTTAAAGATTAATTAACATGAAAAATATATGATTCTTTTAACAAAAAATGTATACGATATTTTCAAGATATTTTCTTTAAAAATATCTTTGTGTTTTTTAAGAACAATATAGTACCTGATTAGTAAGAGATCGCATGCGTTCATTGGTATTTCTAAAGTTAGCGCGAGTGCAAGTTGATTATATTCTTGTCTCGATTGTACGTGAACAACTGTATATATATACTATGTTCTAACTTACTTCGTCTAAAGCACGAAACAAAAGTATGTTCTTCACGCTTTCGCCTAACCTTTGTCGTTGGCCATCGCTCTTCGGATGTACCATCTGTAATCATAAATAATTAACAAAAATTAATAAACATTTTCTTATACATTGAAGTAACAGCAGATCTTAAAAATCTTTCGATAAATTTCGTCCCAACATTCATTGAAAATTCATTTATGATAATTAAGAACAAAATAGCGAATCAACTTTGTTCAACAAATTTAATAATCAGTATAAAATATTATCTAATTATCTATTTACAATTGTCCTTAATATAAAGTCAATATATATTAAATGTCGTAGAACAATAATCAATAATCAAGAGACCATTTCTATCATTAATGAATGATTCCTTATTGTCCAAACTCTTTCGATATAATTGTTTTAATCGTGAAATAATTCTCTTACGTTTTATCGTATTTAACATACAATTTATATTAAAATTCATTTCACTTCTACGTATCTTGTTATTCAAAGATATTGCTTTAAACTAGGGCACATCATAGTTCGCTCATACATTTTTTTTTTTCAACGACATGCCGTGCATAGTCGTCGTCTGGGTTGGTACTCGTTTAAAACGTGACTCTTTCTTTCTCTCTCTCTCTCTCTCTCTCTCTCTCTCTCTCTCTCTCTCTCTCTCTAATGGCTCAGCTGCGCATTGTATTGTTTACAATTTTGAAACACCTGCAATCATTGTATACCGCTTTAACGACTCGCGCTTATTACAAATTCATTACATATACTATGAAACAAATGAAATGAGTTAATATCCAATTGACGCTTTTTCTTCTTTTTTACAGTTTTAATTAGGATAACAATAACCAAAAGAAAACACACGCAAAAAAAAAGAAAATACAAAATGACGCGAAAGTTTGTTGTTGGATATTAACATTTAATTACATAATTCAATGTTACGATTATATAATTATTTTACCAACCATTACAATTTCAAATGAAATATCATAAATAATTAACACAAATATCTAATGAGTTTACTTTTGAAAAAAAAAAAAATAAAAAAAGAAGCCTGCGGTGTTAATATAAATTTTTTTTTACAGACTCTTGAGAAGAAAAAACAATTTATATTCTGAATAGAAATATAAATTTAATATTGGCAGAAATGTTAAAATGTGTGTGTCATGCGGAATGCAGTGGAAAGAGCCAAAATTTTCGAGCGGTACAAAATAAGACATTTACCGAAATGATTTCTTACGTTTATTCACAAATTAAATGAAAAATTTACAAACCACAAATATTATATTTCCTATATATATATATATATATATATATTCGTTCACAATGCATTTTACCTTTTTTACTTTGTAAGTTGTTATTATAAGTTAAAAAGAAAAGAAGAAAAAAAGAAGAAAAAAAAAAAAAAAAGAGAAGAAATCCAGTTAACAAGCTTTATTAACAGCAGGTATCTATTATACGCTCTAAGGTCACCCCTCGACATTTTACAACTATTACAAGCAGATTTTACAAAATAACGCCAATAACTCGTTAGACGTTGGATGACTAAAGAACATTAACTAATACGATTTGAGATTGAAGGTTATAACTTACACGTTAATATAATCAAATTTTAAAACACATACAATTAATGAATAATTCCGAAGGAACGATGGAAAAAGAAAAAAAATGAAAAAAAAAAAAAAAACGAAGCAGCTACTTTGCCAAGAAGATTGAAGAAGAATAAAAGAAATAATGTATATATATATAAAAAGAAAAACATACATAAAATATATATATATATATATATATTAAACCGTATGTGTGTGTATATTTTATTATCCCTATATAGATCGATTCAAAAATAGGACGGTAAAAGAAAAAAAAAAAAAAAAGAAGAAAAAAAGAACCAACGTGTGAGGGTGTGTAGTAGCGATCGTCGCACATACAACAAGCGCGTCCCGAAACAAACTTTTTGTTCATTTTTGTTTTCGTGGGGAAATGATAGAAAAAAAAATAGAAAAAAAATAGAGAGAGAGAGAAAAAGAAAGAACAAAAATCGGTAGAATAATTTTATCGAGGGACAATTCGATTATCGCATCAATAATCCAGTTCGTAGAGAGCTGTTTCGATACAACGTCGTGCGCGCTCACGTGTTTAGATGTGTGTGTGTGTATATACACGTTACAAGAGATGCTACGTTTAGTGTAAGAGAAAGACAGAGAAAGAGAGAGAGAGAGAGAGAGTGAATAGTATGTATGTGTGTGTGTGTTTGTGTGCGCCGTAGTCGTAAATGAGTACAGCGGCACACGGAGCACATACAACACACACATACATACATACATACAAAAGTCACATCCGTGATAGTCAGGTTATCGAACACGCGCGCTCTGACGTCACAAAGGTACATCGCTCGCATCGTCGGGCAAAGTAAATCATCGCGTTTCGTCACTCGCTTGGCGCAGGCTAAGTGCGGTACTTCAATGCGAAACGATTTTATACGATGTCTTGCGCTCGCGCGCATAACACACAACCAACACGTATGAACGAGCAACACTATACACATAGATAGATAGATAGATAGATAGATATAGAAAAACGCGCGTGTCTCTTCTTTCTATATAATCAGGTTTATATTGTATATATGTGTACATATATATATATATATATATATATATATATATATATATATATATATTATATATTTTCTTGTATGCTCCACGAGGTATCTTAAAGGTATACCTATACCTATACGTAGTTTAAAATACGTACGTACGAATGGTTTCATATATAATCGGTTTATAAGTTTTAAAATAAAACCTAATAGCGCGCGCCATTAGCGAAATTGTTTAATGTAGAATTTTTGTCTGATTTAGTTGTTGTTGTTGTGTTGTTGTTGTTGTGTTGATGTTTTTTTTTTTTATTCTTGTTTCTTCTTTATTCTTTTCTTTTTATTTCTTTTACTATATCTTTATTTTTTTCTTGTATTATTATTATATATATANATTATATATATATATATATATATATATATATATATATATATTTTTTTTTTCTTTCGAGGGCAATCATTACGTAAAAGTTCCATAAAATCCATAAAGGCTATCGGCGTGAATTCAAAGGGTTCTCTCACTTTTTCTTTTTCTATCTTTCCCTATCTTCTTTGTTACTCGGTAACTCTCTTCCAACGATTAACCCGCATTCAAGCGACTCGAATCAGGAAAAATTTCAAATCGTAAAACCGGATTTATATCTTTGTTATTTAAAAACATGAATTTGTTTGTAAGATACACGCAGTGTATATATATATATATAGAAATCATTTGGAATTATTTTAAAGATCTTTGAAGTTTCTTGATAAAAACGTGGACAAAATTTTATGACAAATCTTCTTCTATCAGATATTCTTCATAATCTCTCTTGATTATACTTAATTTATAATTTATTATTCTAATTCTAGATAAGTGTTCCATCATTACGTAAAATCAGCTCAACTTGCTTTTGATCACCTAATACCGAATATAATTATTTCATTTTATTTATTAATACGTCAATAGAGAGATTAAACATTCAAAGAATTTATTCTCAGTAGAAGTTTTCTTATCATAAAATAAATTGTAAGCATTATAGAAAAGAAAGAAAGAAAGAAAGAAAGAAAAATACTAGACAAAATTGAACATTGATAATATTAATGGAAATTACAAATCATTTTATTTCTCACTTAGAGACATATCCACGTTTTTTATTTTTTTTTCTCTCCTTCTTTTTATTTTCATCCCACAGAGACAGAGAGAGAGAGAGAGAGAGAGTTGTGTCATGAATAATTTGAAAAACAATAATATATAATTTTCTATTCTTTTAAAACAATCTAATAGAATATTTATGTAGATACATTACGTCAATTTCGGTCTTGACATACAAAACAAAACAGAAATGAACGTAAATGAATCATGCATGTATCCTCCCTTGTACAATTTTGTATATCAAGGCTAATCCTTTTTAACTTGAAATGTAACATCATCATTTAAAATACGAAAATGTCAATAATAAACTCACCTAAGATCATATTTAAAAGTAAAAACTTTCATTGAAAATAGTCGTTAAAGGGAAGTCGCCAAAGGGAAGAAGATTGTTACCTTGACGCCGTCTTCTTCCTCATCTTCTTCTGGATTGTAAGTTTCAGCGAAAACGCTCTTCCTTCTGGTCGCAAACCTGCCGACCGGTGGTTCTAGAAAATAATAATAATAAAAAAAAAAAAAAAAATAATAATAATAATAATAATGAAAAGAAAAAAAAATCATACTCGAGACACAGCAATAACGCGTGCGCGAAATCAACTTGCTGCGAATGTTCAAAAAGATTTTCGACAAATGTAAATGCGCCCAAAGGACAAATGCGTTTCGCATGTAAATACAAATAANCGCCGTCTTCTTCCTCATCTTCTTCTGGATTGTAAGTTTCAGCGAAAACGCTCTTCCTTCTGGTCGCAAACCTGCCGACCGGTGGTTCTAGAAAAAAAAAAAAAAAAAAAAAAAGAAGAAAACAACGCGTTAGGTATAAATACATGAAAAAAGAAGGATTGATGGAAGAACGGTCGTAAAGAGCGCGCGAAATCAACTTGCTGCGAATGTTCAAAAAGATTTTCGACAAATGTAAATGCGCCCAAAGGACAAATGCGTTTCGCATGTAAATACAAATAATACAAACATATGATTTAGAATGAAAATAAAATTGATTGAGATAAAAGGATATAGATAAAAGTTTTGCAATTACAAATAAATAAGTCGATGAAAAGAAGCGGTCAATTTTGAATGAAATAATGTTTTCAAAGAGAAAAAATAATATACGATTTAAATGACGTACGCTCAAAATCCTTATGCATAACTCTGTGTGTATCCCGCGTACCGAGAAATAGAGTCTTCCCGGATGTTTTTTTTTTACGCGAAATAGACACTCTACGTTACGAATAATATTGAGTCTGACACCGGTCAAGATAGAATGTACACTGTGTGCCGCAACTACTTCGTTACTAATAATAGTACCCCAAGTTCCAGTCTATCGGCTAAGATTCTCTATTACCAAGAAGACCGAGAGTTTCGCGCAGCACAGCAGCGAAACGCTCGGTTACTTAGAAAATTTATGAAATTAAAACGACGTCGGTGACGACGACGGTGACGGTGACGACGACGGCGACGACGACGGCGACGACGACGGCGACGACGACGACGACGACGAGGATGGTGAGGAGCACGCGCGCGCGCGCGGACGCACGTCAGACGTCGAGACGCGCGCCATGCTTCTACTGCGCCTATGCCGATTATTATGCAAGCAATCGGAAAGGTCTAATAATAAAAGGGAGAGAAGACTATTCACAATTCGATCTCCGATCTCCTCCTTCAATCGCAATTTACCTTAGCTACGAGAAACTCTACTCGTTCTCCGTTTAAAAAATCAATCACGAAATATGGACTCAACGTGAATTCATTTTATTTTTCGAGAGAAAGAATCTTCTTCAAACACATCCAAGGAATAATGATTTTCAAGATAAGAAAAATGTTAAAGTTAGTATTATCTCTTGTACGTAAGAAGAATAATAATCCAAGAGAAGAAGATATTTGACCTCATCTCGAGTATTACGCACATACGTACGTACGAATAAATAAATCCTCGTGAATAAAAAGAGAGAAAGATAATCAAATGTTGAATAATAATAACGCGTTTCGTTTTATATCCGTATTCTTTCCTTTTTTTTCCTCCATCGATCGTCTCCCGCTTGAAAGCTCGTTAAGAAAGTGTATCTCGTCCGTGGTAGTAGAAGAAGAAGAAGAAGAAGAAGAACGGGATTTAAATGACCCGGAGTTCTTCGCATTCGACATTTATCCTACGAATAGCGTGGAAGAGTAGATAATCTTGATATCAGAGATGAAAAAAAAAGAAACAGGTAATGAATTGATGTAGGACACATATTAAAAAAAAAAAAAAAATTGTTAGATACCTTCGTCAACGGACTCGTCCGGTGTCGAAGCACAAGTTTGCGCATCGGGCTGAATCAACTGCGTTCGACGGTTGTCCCTGAGTCTCGTAAAGAACTCGACCGCGTAATCGATTATATCCCCAGGTTGTTCTAAGAGATAACTGATAGTAAATTCCAAGAGAACGTCTCTTAGGTCGTCCGGCACAGTAATCTTGCCAGCGTTACGTTGACAGCTCATTTTTTCTCTTAGCGCGAACGCTCCTTCCCAACGTTCCGCCGGCAGCCGCGACGTATCGCGTCCGTCGCCTATCGTTCCTCTTGTCTCTCAACGTCGCGCGCACGTACGCACGCACGCGCGCGCCTTATCCACCGTTAGGTATCACTCTTTCTTTCTCTCTCACTCCAATTTCTACCCTTCCTCTTTCAATCAACTCCGCTCGATGCTTTTTATCTTTTGACACTCTCCTTGACTCTTCTTTTTCTAATACTTGAAAAAAGAAACGGAGTTTAATTGATACCCTTTCGTAATGTCTTCAATGATGACAAATGGATGAAAAACGGGTTGACCCTTTGGAAAATGTTTATCTCTTTACTTTTCTCACAGCTAACTAGCCACTATACCGCTCCTCCCTCTACACCCACTCTTCTGTAACCACGTCGCAGGCGCGCGCGCGCGCGCGCTCTCTCTCTCTCTGATCTTCAAGAAGTCAACGTTTCTGATCTATTCCGCTATCATTCGACCCCCGCGTTATCCCTTCTTTCTATCCTTTTTTTTTCGTTTATTTAATTTCTATTTTTTCTTTTCTTTTTTAATTTATCCAAAGCGCTACATCAAAAAATACTTTCGACATAGACGCGATCGCGAAATAACAGATTGTGAAACAATTACCCTCGATCGTAAAGATGGCAACTGCGGTTCGTCACGAGATACGCAATATGTAGATTGATAACGGGGTTTGTAATTTTATCGGTACCCGACGACAGCTCTACCTAGCGACAACTCGAAGAACTAAATTTTTGATTACTGATATTACTGTTTTGCCATGGAAGATTTTAATGACTTTTGGTTTATTAGTAGTATTTTTATATTTCTGTTACAGATACACGTTCTTAGCAAAAAATTAATATTTCCTAACCATGGAATAAGAAATCTCAGGGGGTGTGTCAAATTATTTTTCGTTGCCAACCCTTTACCATACAGTAGGGTGTGTGGCTACCCCTTAAGTTCAACCCCCTTACTACGTCATCATGACGTCATAACGCGGAAAATTTAAATAAAATAAAACAAAAAAATTACTTATCGCAACAGGCAGGATTCGAACCCACGATACCAGAGTTACCAGTCTTTAACTCTAGCACCGCACCACAGATCCATTCTTGAAAGTTGTGTTTTAAAACTTGTATTTATAAAAATTAAAATAGTATTATTTACCTTTATATGGCACAACTCTGCAATTATTGTTTTGTAGAGATGTCGGGATTTTGTGTTTCTCGTACAGAAAGTTTCTATTACAATTTTTTAATGTAAATTTGATTTTTAAGACAGATAAGTTGTAATTTATACAAAAAAATTAACTGCAAAACGTAGTACGTTGTTCTGAAGCTGCAGACGTGCGTTGATAATTCACTGGATGTTTAATGATTGTCCTCTCAAGAGAATTACCAAGAAATTTTTGTAAGTACTCAGATATGATAGGAATCAAATATATTTCCAATTTGTTTCAATAGTATGGCGTGTACCTATAACAGCAATATAAAACATATAGAACAACAACCATTAGAACACCTTAAAGATATATTACCCATATATCAAAAGTCGTTAAAATCTTTTAGGGCACAGCTGTAATGTCTCCTTGTTAATTTTTAACAGATTAAAATAGATACAAAAGGTGTTATTATATTATAACGATCAAAGAATATAATTTTATTTCTCTTTTTGTGTAACATTTTGCTTATCTTAGACATGCGCTTTTTTTACTTATCTAATTAATATACACACGCACATTTATAATATATATATATATATATATATATATATATATAATCCTAAAAATAATTAGCATATTATCATTAGGAATGCAAACAAATTATTTGCTTGCATTATTTGAGATACAAACAATTCGCATTTATCATTCCAATAGCAATTTACTACATACAATATAATTACTTTGCAACTTAAAATAATAAGATATTGAAAAGTATGTCAATTGTATCTAGATTATGTAATTATAAGTTATAGTATTAATTTCTACTTTTTTTTTACAAAAATTTTGTAATATTGAGGTATAGAATACAAAAAATATATATAATACAATCGATGTAAATACGAATATTTTTTAGCATTTAAAAATATTTATCTTTCTATATGTTCTATGGAATTGTAATTATGTAGTACTAAAGTCTCATATTCTGTATAAGTTACTTCTTGTCCATTAAGTGGTATATAACATACTTGATTACTTGGTTGTATTTTTCCTACATAATACAATCCATTATATAATACTCTACCAATAAAAAGAGCATAACCATCTTCTGTTTCACCAGCAGGAAGAGCATATAAAGGAACACTACCATCCCATGATTTTACCCAATCAATGTCTCTAACGCATAACACTTGATATTCTTTCTTTTCGTGTGCTGCTCCTCCCCATGGCAAAGTACAGATATTATCCCTTATACTACCAGGTGTTACAGAATCTTTGTGATGTGCACGACCAATATATAATCCATCCTCCGAAGCAATGGCTGCATTTTGAGGAAAACTCATTGTGTCGTTATAATCAACCCATAAATGACTCGTATCGGCAAGCTGTTGTCTTATAGCAAGTGCCGTAAATTTATTTTCTACAAATAATAATTATAGTATTATTTTATAGATTTTCCATATATTTGTAAGATAGGAAAAGAAAATTTAATTTTAAAATGCATTAATGCAAATGGCGTAACTAACTACTAACCATTAATTATAACCCATTCTCCTGTTGCACCCCAAGCTGTACTGAATCCTATATAGTTGATAACAAATGGATTTTTATCCTTATATGTCATTAAAGTTTCACATTCTTCATCCTCTCTGCCTACGCTTAACAATCCATCACAGGACCATCTGTAAATGTTAATTTTCGATTAGTTACTTTAATAAAATAGTCATTATTTATGTTTACTTTTAAAGTAATCTCTTACTTTATCCAAATGTTACAATAATCTCCACATATGTCTACAGTTTCTGCTTCCGCTATATCTGGTTCTACATTATTTCTCTTTATTGCGGACATGGTATTTCCCCATCCACCAAGAATAATCTAAAGTAGCAATGCTATACTAAATATCCATTAAATTTAATAAAAAGTTAATTTCTTTTGTTTCATTCAGATGATAATTATAATAAAAATAATATATATATAAATTATGCTAAATATATTCCATGAATATTCTAACTTATATTAAACTTACCTCGTACACATTAGAATCATCTCCCAAATGAGTTCTAAGAGCAATTCTGGCATCATGGTTAGCCTTCATTCGCAAATTAATGTTACATCTTGTAATAGGAAAATAACAATAATCCAAACTATCTATTGTATTGATTGCTACTAAAAAACAAAATGATTTTAGATTATGATATTTATTTTACAATGACTTATTCAAAGCATTATAAATTAAACATTTATATTATTTAATATATTAAATATTATTTCGATTGTCATATTTATTTTTAATTACGCAGTGTTAACCTACCTGACATGATAATATTCAGAACAATCAAAAAATTAATAAACGTATTAAAGATCTTATCACTGACTCTTTAATATGATTTAAAAGTATAATCTTTGAATGAAAATAATTTCTATTAAATATAAAATCTACTTAATTTGTAAAATACAATAGGTAAATATTTATGACAGATTGTAAATTTCGAGGAATTTTTATTTCTTTCTGACCGTAATAAGCATGCTTGAACAGCTATGCTTATATATACATATATATTTGATCCTTAGATACTTCACACTGTCACACACTAAACGTAATGTTTGTTGACGACTGCTACTAAGAGTTGGTATTGTACATGCTCTATGTTACATTTATAATTAATATTATTTTTGAAAAAGTTTAACCATTATTATTAAAAAGGTAATTAAAATAACAATTGTACTTTGCGTTAATATATATTCTTATTATTTATTTGCTCTTTTATATTTTTTTTTTTACAATTTATAGTTAACAAGTTCGCCGCTAGAGTGCACATGTAGGATGATATTTTGAATGAGAGTACCCATCTATCTAATACTATTTTTACATTGTTTTTTTTCTATTTTTCTATTTATATCATTTATAATTCACAAATTCGCGTTGTTAAAGTATAAATTTAAGATTTTTTGTTAATGGAAGTACTCATCTATTCTAATTGAAATACTATTTTTACATTGCATTGTTATATTTTTTCACATAATTTATAATTCGTAAGTTTCCCGCTAAAATTCAAATGTAGGGCACTTTGAATAGGAATATCTTTAGGACGTGTTCGAGATCGATGAGTAATAATAACCCACCAAGCGAGTAAAAAACAAATATATTAATTAGATCTACAACCGAAGACAAGGTGTAGTGAAAAAAATTGCGAACGGAATAGTCGAGGCGTGCGATCACTCCAGCAAACGCGATAGAGACAAGCACTTACATTAGACTGACTAATGAGGTAGAAGGGGAAAGGTCACGCTATACTAGCGCCACCTTCCTCTAGTGTTTGTGCTGCCCTCTGATGTTATTAATGATCGATTGCAGAGCTACCAATGCTACCATCGATACTACATTTTTAATTCCGCCTTCATTTGTGTTCTTTCCTGTTTGAGACGTTTATCGTGAGGAGTGTACTTCGAGTTTATTTTTTTCTAATTTCGAATAGTTCATAAGTGTATGAATTAAAATTTAATTTTTTGTGAATATCGATAATTAAAACAAAGAAAAATGTTGGTTCTCTTTGAAACTCCGGCGGGATACGCGATATTTAAGGTAAATTTATGTTTAATACAAATCCTAACCTCTCAACCACGATGCACGTGTTCAGGCCGCCCGGTTATATTTTTTTATATATATCTATAAAAGATAAATAGATTTTTTATTTCAAACAATAAGAATTAGAAATTAATATAAAAAATTATTCTATTCACATATCCATTTTTATATTATATTTTCAAACATAGTTTTTTTAATTTATCATTAATATCGTTTTATAGGTAATAGTTAACCTACATATTTATATTTCTTAAAACTTTGTATTTATTGCTTTTATGTTTATTATTACTTTTCGTTAACCAGTAATAATATTTTATTACAGTTACTGAATAAAAAGGTGTTGGCGCGTCCTGATGATTTGTTTCGTGAATTTGAAACACCTGAAGCAGCAAATAAAATGTAAGATATTCTATTTACGAATAATATTTAATTTTAGAATTGTTTTGAAATTATATATACAGTAATTGCGCAAGCATTCTCGTAAAACGACGTTGATTTCGTTTAACGCGTTTTGTACAAATATGTACAAACTTTTCTCGTGAAAAGTGGGGAATCCACGTGTTATATGGGGGAAAACATTTGTTATACGAGGGACATGAAAACGCGTTATAAGAGTACCATGTTATAGGGGGATTACTGTATATATATATTAGATTTTTATTTATATAGTATTATTATAATTATAAATAACATTTGTTAATATTTTGATTTTAGTGTTAAATTAAAACATTTTGAAAAGTTTGAGAATACTACAGAAGCTCTCGCTGCTACAACATCAGCAATAGACGGAAAATTACCTAAAACTTTGAAAAAAGTTCTGAAGAAACATTTTTCAGATTGTCAAGAAGAATTGGCAGTTGCTGATGCCAAATTAGGAGCTGCTATAAAAGAAAAATTACAATTATCATGTGTAAATAATACAAATGTACAAGAATTAATGAGATGTATTCGAAGTCAAGTCGATGGTTTGTTAGCTGGTTTGCCCAAGAAAGAAATGGCAGCAATGGCTTTGGGTTTAGCTCATAGTCTATCGAGATATAAATTGAAATTTTCTCCAGATAAAATTGATACCATGATAGTGCAGGCTGTTTCTTTATTAGATGATTTAGATAAGGAATTAAATAACTATGTAATGCGTTGCCGTGAGTGGTACAGTTGGCACTTTCCAGAACTTAATAAGATTGTAACAGAAAGTACTATATTCGTAAAATGTATTAGAATAATTGGAACTCGAGAAAATACCGTAAATGTAGATCTGTCTGATATTTTACCTGAAGATGTTGAAGAGAAAGTTAAAGAAGCTGCTGAGATATCAATGGGAACTGAAATTTCTAAAAATGATATTAAACATATTCAAGAATTATGCGATCTAATAGTAGATCTTTCACAGTATAGAAATGATTTATATAACTATCTTAAAACCAGAATGATGGCAATGGCACCTAATTTAACTACTTTAGTTGGAGATCTAGTGGGTGCACGTTTAATATCTCGTGCAGGTACTCTTATCAATTTGGCTAAAGTACCAGCTTCGACTTTACAAATTCTTGGCGCAGAAAAAGCACTTTTTAGAGCATTAAAAACCAAAAAAGATACTCCAAAATATGGTTTAATTTATCATTCAGCTATGATAGGACAATGTTCAATTGCAATGAAAGGAAAAATGTCAAGAATGCTTGCAGCTAAAGCATCTTTAGCAGCAAGGATTGATGCTTTAGGAGAGACTGAAAGTTATGATTTTGGTATTGAGCATAAAGCTAAATTGGAAGCTAGATTGAAAATATTAGAAGAAAGAAAGTTGCACAGAATTTCTGGAACTGGTAAAAGTAAAGCTAAATTCCAAAAATATCATTTTAAAAGTGAAACTATACAATATCCAGCAGCTGCAGACACAACACTTAGTGGAAAAAGAAAACATTCTGAAATAGCTGATGAAACACAAGAGAAAGGTGAAAATAATGAAGCTAGTATGATTGAAGAAGTTCCTAAAAAGAAAATGAAACGAGACGTTGCTGAAGAAGGATCATCACGAGTAGATAATACAGTCGGAAATGAAGGCGAGCAAGAAGTTTCATCCAAGAAAAAGAACAAAAGGAAAAAGCAAGAAGCTACAACAGATGATGTTTCAGTAGTGACTGAACAGCAGGATGGAAGTAGCGGTGGTGGTAAGTAATTTTTATTTAATATTTATCTATATTTGAATAATATATATGAGTACTTTGTACAATTTATTAGGCATACTAGATTGATAATCGACACATTTTTCATTCATAAGATATTTAGCTTTCTCTAGTCGTCCATTTTTAGTAGCATTGTGTAGTAAAGGAGTATAGCTAATACCATTGGTTTATACATTAGAATTTGTTTTGCATCTATAAGATATTTCGCTATGTTCAATTGATCATATTGAACAAGAATATGCGAAGTGCATATTGCACTTCATGCAATTAGTGACAATGAAAAAAATTCCTTACGCAATCAAAGTGATCATTCATGGAGTTCAGGCGAAAATAGTGAAATGAGTATAAGTTCTAGAAAATGAAAACATTTTGTTACAGGCAAAGATGATAGGGTATCGAAGAGACCGCGCTATGAAGATTCACAATTTCCTAGTGATTTACAAGATGAATCTAGACAGGACTTGTCTGATCAATTACATAATACTTGTAACATTAGGCAATATATTCCTCATCATTTGATTGAATTTATGTATCAATTAGACTTGTCGGTGCTTTGTTCACTTAGAAAGTTTAAGCATGAACATAAATATTCTTCATTATCATTAGCATTTCAAGATTATGAAATAGATAAATTTAATAATATTGTTTTTCGTTATAAAAAGAAGTCCATTCATATACAAATTGAATATGTAGACAAGTATTACATAAATAATGGCATTAATTACGCTAGATTATTTACTAAAGAAAAACGAAGTTTTTCTATTAATAATTATTTTGATAGTTTTGTTAAACATACAATCTCTAAATCGGGAAGTTCATCAGCTAATATAAAATATCTTATTATCTATACTAATTCAGGTTTAGATCTTACAGAAGAAAACAATTTAAAAGAAGGAAAATATAAAAATTTTTATCCTTTTAAATTTGATAAGATAAACATAGAAGATAGTAGTAAACTATTGAAAGATTTGTTATTTATAAATGACGACGATACACCGGGATGTGATTTTTATCAATTTTCGCGAATTAAAACAATGAGAGAAGAACTTTTAAAACGATTAGAATTTTCATCTGCTATGCAGAAAGTAATGAAAGAAAGAACAATTTCACAAGAATTAGAAAAAGAAATGAAAGATGCATTTTTAGATAAATTAGTATTTGCGGTTAATCAGCCTAATAGAGAAGAATTGAATAACATTATTAAAAATGAAATAAGAAAAAATAGTACACTTACAATTAGGGATAATTATATAACATTACAAGAAAGAATATTACGTGATTATTTAACAGCTTCATCAAAGGATACCAAATTCGTGAATTATGTAACTGGAATTATATATGAATTCAATTTATTAATACTCTTCTTGCATGACATGTTCTTGCATAAAAATATATCTTCCATAAATTCTGATGGAAAAAGCAATGATATATCATCTAATAGAATTGTTCTTCATTATAAAGATAAAATTATTTATGTAAATGCTCATTATACAAATACTAATATTGGATATAGTCAATTATTTCCTTGTAAACAACAGAAAGAAAAAAATATCTTTTCTATTAATAAATATTTTAATCTTTATGTTGAACAATTAAAAGAGAATGTGGAATACATTATTATTTATACTAATGCAAGTCTGGATTTAACGGAAGATAAGAAGTTAAAAAAAGGACGATCTAAAGATTTTTATCCTTTCAAATTTGATAATGATAAAGTTTTAACAGATAGTTTGTGTATTAATGAGAATGGTCTTTATCGATTTGCACGAGAAGAGGCAACGAGAAAACAACTTTTAAGTCTATTACAACTACCAACTTCTTTGCAAAAAAAACAAGACGATGGAATACTTTCTAATGAAAGTGAGCAAGAAATAAAAGAGACATATTTAAATAAACTAATATTTGCAACTAATCAATTTGATAAAGAAAAATTAAATAATATTGTTAAACATGAGATAGATAAATCTGATGTTACATATAATTATGAAGAGATACATGAAATAGCGTTACGTTGGTCAGAATCTCATGAATTAGGAAATATTACAAGTGAAATAATTAAAAAGCTTTTGGAAGATATAAAAAATAATAGATCAAGTTATAAGAAAATGGAAAATAAAAACATTAACGATGAAATTAAATTTGCCAGAAGTGTCGTTGGTAGAGAAGGAACACTAGCATTTAATCAGTTTTTAAATTTTTTAATTAAAGGAGAAGGAATACAGTGTTTACAAGTTTTAAGAAGACATCAAATTGATTTAGTTAATATGTCCAGTATTTTGCATGTAACAGGAACTAATGCTGAACACATTTTTAAAGACTTATATGAACTTTGGTTTGATAAACAAGGATGTAAAACACAATATTTAAGTACTCTAGAAAAAGAAGGAATAAATTTATCTAATATGTCCAGTATTTTAGGTGGATCAGGAACTAATGCTGCAAATGCTTTTCAAGATTTATATGAATTTTGGTTTGATATGAAAGGAAGTAAAACACGATATTTACGTACTTTAGAAAAGGAAGGAATAAATCTAGCTAATATGTCTAGTATTTTAAGTGGAGCAGGATATAACGCTGCACAAGCTTTTAAAGACTTATATGAACTTTGGTTTGATGAAAAAGGATGTAAAACACAATATTTAAATACTTTAGAAAAAGAAGGAATAAATCTATCTAATATGTCCAGTATTTTGAATGTAGCAGGAGCCAATGCTGCTAAAGCTTTTAAAGACTTATATAAACTTTGGTTCGATAAGAGAGGAAACAAAACACAATATTTGACTACTTTAGAAAAAGAAGGAATAAATCTATGTAACATGTCCAGTATTTTAAGTGGAGCAGGAGCTAACGCTGCTAAGGCTTTTGAAGATTTATATGAACTTTGGTTTGACAATGAAGGCAATAAAACACAATATTTAAATACTTTAGAAGAGGAAGGGATAAATCTATCTAACATGTCCAGTATTTTAAGTGGAGCAGGAGTTAATGCTGCAAAAGCTTTTAAAGACTTATATGATTTTTGGTTTGATTCTAAGGGAAACAAAAAAGCACATTTAAAACATTTCATTGATAGTGAAGATAAAGAAAATAGCTTTACGTTGCATAATTTATCAGGTATATTAAGTAGAGCAGGGGCTAAAGCTAAATGTGCATTTGAAAAATTGCATAATGTTTGTTATAATGACAAAGGAAAGAGAACAAAATTGTTAGATGATTTCTTTAATGCAGGTTTTAAACCAAGTAATTTATCTTGTACTTTATGTGGAACAGGAGTTCGTGCTTCTTTTACTTTAAAAAGATTACATAATACTTGTTTCAATGAGAAAAGAGAAAAAACCAAATTATTAGAGGATTTTTATAAAGCAGGTTTTAGGCCATGCGATATATGTGGTGTATTGAGTGCAGCAGCGGATAGTTTTAAAACGTTTCATGATTTTTGTTTTACGAGAGAAACGAAAAAATATTTAAATCATTTCTTAATTGATAAAGAAGGTTTCACACCGATTAATTTATCTAAGATATTGCACGGAGCAGGTGCTAATATTTGTTCAGTTTTAAAAAATTTTCATAATGTTTGTTTCGACGAGACAGGAAATAAAACACAACTTTTAAATGATTTTTATAAGGCAGGTTTTAACTCAAACGATTTATCCAATGTATTATCCATGGCAGGAAGAAATGTAACTACTATTTTAAGAAACTTTCATAAATTGTGTTTTCATAAAGACAATTATTTAAATGACTTTTTAACTGAGAAAAATCTTTTTACGCCAAAAGATGTATCAAAAATGTTATACGGAGTAGGAATTAATATTTGTTCATTTTTTCAAAAATTGCATAATCTTTGTTTTACCAAGACAGGAAAGAAAACGGATTATCTTCGAGATCTTATAAATAATCATAAACCAAACAAAATACCTAACATATTATACGAAAAATTAAGAGAATTATAAGACAAACGAACTTTTTATGTAATATTTAATAATATAGTATATAATATATTTTTCAAATTTTAAATAGTCACTTTTTTCTGCCTTACCCTTTTCTTTCTTTAAAGGCAATCGGATGAACTCTATTAGGACGATCACTAAAATATTTTATATTTAATATTTCCCTTGCATCTTCAATGATTCAGATGGGGTTTTGTTTTTTTTTTTTTTTTCATGAACATGGAACATTGATTTGATATTAAATTAAAAATAAAATTAATATTACATCAATTTTCATTTTCATTTTAGAACCTAAGAAGAAGAAGAAAAAGAAGAAGGACAAGCAGGCTGCTGAGACACAGGGGGAGGAGGAGGAGGAGGAGGAGACTTCAGCTTCTGTTCCAACAGAAACAGCTGAAGATGTAACACCAGTTTTGTCTGAGAAGAAAAAGAAGAAGAAGAAGAAAGTACAAAAAACTGAATAACTTTAATTACAAGTTTTAGAAGTATATCAGAATATTATTATCATCATCATCATCATCATCATCATCATCATCGGTAGAGATTATGATTCAAAAATAATCCATAAATCCACTGAGGACAGTTTAGAAGTCGTCTCAGTTTTTTTTTTTTTTTTTATAAGTTTACAGAGATAAATAAATAATGAATTATTTCTATACTTTATCTACTTTTTTTTGCATCTTTTCCTTGGTTAGTAACAATAACATCTTTTACTTATTATTTTATAGGAATGTATGATTTATGATATACTATTGTTATTTTATAATATAACATTAATTAATTTTTCTTAAATTCGTTATAATTATATATATATATATATATATATATATATATATATATATTTTATCTACTTTTTTTTGCATCTTTTCCTTGGTTAGTAACAATAACATCTTTTACTTATTATTTTATAGGAATGTATGATTTATGATATACTATTNTATATATATTCAGTTGCATTATATAAACACGTAAATTTAATTATTTTTACTTATTTGATAAATACCTAATAAAATCATTAAACAGTTAATTGATCTTTACATAATATACTACATTAAAATTGTTTAAAATATCATCAGAATGCAATGAAGAGTTTTAATCTTATTTTAAAATAAGTCAAATATATCGGTGAAAAAGTTTTTGTTAACTTTTATATATTGAATAACAAAGCAACATTATGTGTATGTATATATATCTATATATATATATATATATATTTCTTACTTGAATATTTTAAGAATAACCGATGATTCTAGGTGTAATGTACATAATAAATAATATAAACTTTATATGAAATATTTTTATTATGTTAACGGTTAATCCTCCTTAATATTCAAATATCAACTGTGCCAGTAATAAAACATTTTATTTATAATTAATCGTCACATCAGTTGAATATAAATATTATTCACAATTAAATGATTAATGATTATTATAGATTATTAGTTGTTAAGAATTTTGTAAAATAATATATACACATAATTACGTTATTGCGAATGTATTTAATCTACTTTTGCTAGTTACATTAAACTATTTTCTCTCTCTCTCTCTCTCTCTCTCTTTACTTTTTATTAAAAAATAAATTGAAAATTAGTATATATTAAGTATTGTCTTATTATAATAAGATTTATAAAAATAATTGTATTCGCAATAAAAAATTAATTTTTTTTTTTTTTATAAACAAGTTCTTAGTGTGTTGTAGTATCATTTCTGCTATATTACATTCTGTCAAAATAATATCGATAAAGAAAATGAATGAATGAATGAATTTGATTTTTGAATAAGGATTAAAAGTAATCATTTGTCATAGATTTTAACATATCTTTATTGTTATTACACGTACACAAAAGTAAGCTGTTGTTAAATGTAATAAATTGTCATCAATGCTAGCACATAATCTTATGATCAATTAATAATATTTATAGAGCAGCTTTTATGCAAAGAAAAGTACAAAACGGTTATTATTATCATTATTATTATTATATAGAACAATAAAAAAAAAAAAAAACAAAACAAAAAAACAAGCTATTCTCTTCGAAATTATTATGCGATCACTTAATAAACTTACATAAATATATTTTGTACTTTATTGTAAATTGGTGTATTAAATTGCTTATATTATTTCAAAATAATCGTAACTTAACACTTTATTACCAAATATATTTGGTAAGAGACACTGATTTCTTTTACACGTATTGATGAATGATTTGAAACACTTTTTTCTTTTTTTTTTTTTCTTTTTCTTTGTTACTTATTATATGTTAAGTAAATATATAATAATGTTTAATCTATTGATAAACACATAGATTCTAGTAGATATATTTGTTTGAAAAGAAAAATTGCACATTATTTTATCATTATTAGAAGTGAACGCTAATTCATTAATTAAAATGACAATGCTTGAAATTATGAGAAAGTTTTTATTGAAAAGCATTCTCTAATGCAATACCTACCAAAGAATCTTTTCTCTACGTATATATTTATTCTATCAAAATAGAAATATTATTTAAAAAAAAAAAAAAAAAAACAAGATGCACACATATTATTATTATTATTATTATTATGTTACTATGTTTACATTTATTTATAATAAATGTATTTATTATATATTACATATGTTATTTTGCAATAATATTTTATAACCGTGTAAATATATAACTGTGACTACTATTAATTATCATTATTTTTAATCATCATGAAAGTTCATTATTTTAAACGTTATCAGAATTATTGAAAAATTATATAATCAAGATTCATATGCACACACTTGAACTGTAAATATTATATTTTACATTTTAATATGTATATATATATATATATATATATGTATATATAAAATTGATACATATAATTCGTAAATATAATTATTTTATATTTATATTAGATTAAAATAATGATCTATCATTAAAAATATAATTTCTTCTTTTTATTTATTTTTTTCTTATTTGTCATATAAAATGATTATTAGTAAATTAATAATATATATATACTGTATATTTTATTCTCCAACAATTTACGATCAGGTAGGTAAATTGAATTTTAAAATTGTATTATTAATCTGAGATTAACATTGTTTAAACACAATGTTTAAGTTTATACAGCTATTATTAAGTTTTAAATATTTTAAATGATTAATTAATTATGACGATAATCAATTGTCTATAAATGAATTTATAAAGATTTCATATTTTGCTTATGATCCTTAAGTGCATGTTTGTTAAAAAAAAAAAAAAAAAAGAAATACATAAACAAAAATGTATATATTATAAAGAATTCCATTTGCAATGAATATATATATATATATATTGGATTTTTTATTAATAGGAATGTGAGTATTGCAATCTAAAACAAATTAAGATACATATAAATGAAATTATTATAATGAATTAAATTTCTACAATATAGGTTTCTTTTTTTAATTAATTAATTATATGTATATATTATATGGTTAGACAAATCTGTAGTAAATTCAATTTTATATCAAAATTAGATCATATGTTATTATACACTTGGCAGAAGCTGAGATATAGTCCGTATTTATTAGTATTATAAATAAACAATATGTGTGGAATTTTAAATATTAACATTTCATATTGTAAACTAGTCAAATTCATATAATCCAGAATATATATATATATATAATTATATTATACATGTTAGCATTATTATGTAAAAATCGTTAATTCATGAAATGACTAGCTAAACCCTGAAATAACTATATTGACCTGTTTAAACATGAAAAAAGAATTATATACTTCAATTAGGTAATATGTAAATTTACAAGAAGCAAATAGTTAAAATATGAAATTGAAATTTGATCCAATAGAATAGAATAATTAACAAAACATTAGTTTTATATAATACAGAAATAAGATAACTAAAAACAGATTTTAACAATGTATTGTCTAAGATTACTAGTTTTAGTTTATATAAAATTCTTTTTACATGTTTGTTAAAACTATTTAGTTATTTAGGGTAGAACCAAGGGTCTCACGATTTAACTGAATTATACAATTTAATGCTGACATATATATATATATATATACACATTATTAACACATACTGGATATTGTGCATTATATGTTGCAACATTTTATTCGGAAGAAGATTAATAAACAATTATGTATTTAATTTCATTATAAATGCAAGCATCTATAAGCATGTAAATCGAAGTGCAAATACATATATATATATATATATATATATATATGTATTTACTGCTATATTTTGTTGATTATTTTTAAACTTTGCATGCAAAATTCAATGTTAGAATAAACATAAAGTTGTATAATGTTAAGTTTTATCGAAAAAGAAAAAAAAAATAATTATTTTCAAAATACATATTATAAATCAAATTTTATATACATTTTTATATATGTATTATATGAGAATAAAATCTCTCCTTAATTATCCTTGTAATGAAAAATATAAGCTGTCAAACTTACAATTGAGATTTCAAAATGTATTTTTATTGATTTTCTACATGCATCTTATAGTTTCTGGGATAAAGCAGTGTATTAAAAAATAGATTATACATATTATTATTATTCTTCATTTAACACCTTTTACTAGGACAAAAAAATTCATGTCTGTAAAATTAACATTATACCATTATTATTGAATTTGAAATAAATTGTAAGTAATTATTTTATGCGCAATCATAAATGTATACAAACAAAAAAATATGTTTTCTTTTTTTCTTAATATAGAAGGCAGTTATTATTTTTAAAATATAAATTTCTTTGATAGATAAATATATAGATATATATATATATATTAAATCCACAATTATTTAATGTCCCTCTTTGCATGTAATTTTTTTTTTTTTTTTTTTTTTTTAATGCTATAAATAAATTAATTGCAGACATGAGTTTTTGACTTAACGAGATAATGTAAGATCTTAAATGTTTTATTGTTTATTTTATTTTATTATAATATTTGTATATATATATATATATTTTCTATTTATATATCGACTTTCGATTTTCCCTCTGAATAAAGAGATAAACACGTTATAATATAATATATTATTTTCTTGTAATATTATAAATTAGTAATTTTTTATTTAATAATTCGCTTTTCCACTCAAATTTGTACAACTTGCTGATTGTAAAGCATAAGTCACTATAAATGATTTAAGAAAGCAAAGTGTGTGTATGTGTGTGTGTGTGTGAGTGTGTATGTAATATCTGATTTATACGACACAATTATATATTAATAAATCAATATGAAAAAAAATATGCTTGTAATAAAGAAAAAAAAAATAATAATAATTTTCTAAAATGCATATTATAATTCAATGATCTGATAGATCAGCCTGCAAATATTTGAGCAGACACACAGCACATATTTTGAAAAAAATTTACGAAATGATCAATACACCCTTTAAAGGAATTACTTCGAGACAATAGTAATACAATTGCAGTAGTAATTACAATTGTTTATTTATGCGATTGATAAAAATTGACAAATGTTCAAGGTATATACTTATTTCAAAAAAAAATAAAAAATAAATAAATAAGTTCAGTAAAAAAAAAAAAATAAAACAAAAAATTAACATTGTTATAATGTGATAGATACATAGAAAAAAAAAAAAAATAATATATAAAGTATATAAGAAAAATAATTCAAATAAAATATAAATTCTTGCATATTTCCTTATAAGGGCATACCTAGTCCCTACCAAAGTAGTGACATATTGCACACTAGACTCATTCTATTGCAGGCTGTGCATTTATGAACTTATACTACAACCACCAGCTGAATAGTCTTATCTACAAATCTAAATATTTATAGTCTAAAACTATATATGTTTTATATATCTCATGATTCTTTTAGAATACTATTATCGTATATGCAATATATGTATGTACAATACATAAAATTATAAATTTCAATGATAATTTAGTAAATATAAATTTATCGAATGCTTGTGAATAAATTTAGTACAGACTTGTTTTCTTTCTGACTGCGAGCTTTACTGAACACATTCCAAAAACGAAGAGTTTCATCTCCAGCACCTGTTACAATAGCTTCACCATCAGGTGACATGGCTAAGTACAAAACTCTATAAGAATGTCCAGTTAATTTTGCAACCTGTGTTAAACTTGGATACTTCCAAACTAATATTTGATTTTGGGAATAGCCATGTGTACTGACTAGTTCTGAACTGTGCTTACTCCAAGCCAAGTTACAAACTTGGGATCCAGTATCAACGCACTGCATAGGTTGACCAGTTAAAGTATTCCAAAATCTGATACATCTATCTGCAGTACCACCACCTGAAGCCAGTAAGCCATGATGATGTGGAGACCAAGCGATTGCCTTGACAGCAGCCAAGTGTTCAGTATAAGTTTGTATCGGTGACAAAGAATGTAAATTCCAAACATAAAGACGATTGTCATTCCCACCAGAGGCCAAGTACTGATTATCCGGAGACCATTTTAAGCCACAAACTTCTTGTCTGTGAGCTCCCAAACGTCGTTCACTCACGACACAAGGTGTTCTAACGTCTCTTTGTAATATTAATCTGTCTCTACTACCAGAAGAGAGAACTTCTCCATTCCATGCCAAAGCACCAACTCTGGCACTGTGTCCATGTAGTTTGCTTACTTGTTTGTTTACAGCAACGTCCCATACTTGAATGTATCCTAAATGCGTTCCAACTGAAACTAAGTTTCCTCTTTCGTTCCAGGCTACCGAGGTGACGCTATTGCCATCACTGGACAGATCACACAGTCTGGTTACTTGACTGGTACAAGCTGACCACAAGTAGACACAACTACCTAAGCCAACGCTAAGAACATTTTGCGATGACCAATCGACCAAATTTAAATAAAAGTCATCTTGCAATTCAGGAGCGTCGAGTACTTTAAATGGTATTCTAGATATTTTTCTAGTCGCTTTTCTAGGTGAACGTAATAATTTTTGACTTTTAGCACTTAAAGGTGAAAGTGAATAAGGCGAGCTTTGATCCAAAAGTGTATGATCCTTAGTTGGTGTAGTATATTTAAATAAATTTTTGGACATCAAAGGTGAGAGAATTCGTCTTTCCTCGCATTGACCTTTAACGTCTTCAATGCTAGCACCTAACAGCTCATTTTTTAAAAGACAGGAATACGCAATACCGTCTCGACTGCCTTCACCATTTTCACGAGTCTTCTTTGTCGCAAGACCACTTCGGCCGTTTTCAGATATCATTGAAAAGGTTGTCTGCCAGTTGTTACCCGACCTTGTCGGTATAAATCGATCAAAACTATTGTTGGTCATTTTACTTGGTGAAAAATATACAGGCGTGTAATGAACAGGAGTGCTTAAATTATCTATGTGGCCCTCGCTATTTGACTTCAATAGTCGTTTCTCGTATTCGTGATGAAACATTTTCTGATTACACACCACGATATATTATAACGTACACACTAGCCTTTTACTTTAAGTCACATTCTTTAAAGCGGCTGCACATTCATTTAATTATAACGTAGCCGCTTAGATTACACGAATATATATATATACATTATATCTTTTCTCTTTTTTAAGAGCCAACACTAGCCGACCGATAAAACTGAACTATTTAACCCGTTACGTCGCCATTCGACGTCAACTCCGAAAGATTTTTTATAAGGAAAGGGCAGGAAAAACGACTACCTCTTCCTCCAATCAAAAGGCTTTATTTGAAATTTTGCCTCGCAACAGATGGGAAACGCGAATATAACTGCTGAGGCTAGCAAGAACTAGCAACTATATATACACGTAGCGACATTCCAACAAGCTTATCTTTCTTTATTTCCTTTCTTTCTTTCTTTCTTTCTTTTTCTTTTTCTTTTTCTTTTATCTATTTTCAATTATTTCAAATAGGTTTTTTTTTTAATTTCTTTATAATGAAACTCACCCTATTATTGTTTTTCTATCTTTCTACATTCAAAATAGAAACCATTTTGTTTATCTACTAATTCTTTATTTTCCATCGCTAATATTTTTTTTCAATCACTGATAATTACTTTTACATTTTTCTTATCATATTTATTCAAAAACTTATCTATATTAAAATATCACTAAAAGATCATTAATCGTAATAATTGTGTGTTACTCGTATATGATATTATATCTATTAATATTTTATAATATATTTATATTAATTATTTATTTATATAATATTAATATAAAAAAATTAGTAATATTTTTATATATTATCAAATATTTGTATAATTTTTGTGATAAATAACAAATAAAATTCTTATAGTTATTTTGTATATAAGTAACAAAAATGATCATTTGAACACATATGTATACGCAACAAATTTATTACATTATTTTTCACAATATAATTTACTATTTGTATTATAAATATAATTATATATTCAATTTATTATTTAATTATATGAAAAAATGTCTAATTGAATAAATTTAATATTATTAGTACGTTTTATTTAATTATAATTTGAATAAGATTATTACAATTACAAAGCGTTCCGAAACTCATTCTATTATGTCCATGAACGCTGTGATGTAGTGAACTATCAAATGCATAGAAAACTTAGTGGTCCCTTTAAATACTGAATTTTCTTACGTAAATAAGAGGTGAGTTATGTAATTAGACTTTATTAACGTTGCATTTAATATTTAGAAATTTACATTAATTATTTAGAAAATTAAAAAGATAACGTATTGTTTCAATAATTATTAGAAATCAATGAATATGAAAAACTAACCTAAATTTTAATTGTAAATATTGGATTTATGTGTCAAATATTTCTTGTTAGAATGTAATCAATGTTTGCAATGATTTATGAATATACTTTTATAAGTTTTTTTTTTTATATATATGTATATATATATTTTTAGTAACATTTATTATATTATTTACAGATAATTAAAAAAATATGGGTGGCCATGGACATGCACATGATTCCGTTAAAATACCTAGTCCAGATTCATACAAGATAGAAGATTATCCAATGGCAGTAAAATTTCAAGAACGTTTAGCAAAGGAAGGTTTAAAGGATCCATGGTTAAGAAATGAACTCTGGCGACTTCATCCTAAATTCAAAACAAAAGGACAACGTGCAATGATGCTCTGCTTTAGAGGTTGGAAACTTGGTGTTCCAGCATTTTTAATAACAATAGGAATTGAAGAATTTTTAAGACAGGGTAAAAAAGATCAACATGGTCATGATAGTCATCATTAATACAATTATATGTAGAAGACACTCCAGAATAGTTAAATTATTAAACAGTACTGCAAGTGTAGAAAGTCTAAGAATAAATGACTGTTTGGGTAACTATTCAATTTTGTTAAAAATTATTTCTCTCTTATCTTATTAGCATTGGCAAATCAAATGTTATTTATTTAATCACTTGACATACAATGATGTCTCGGAGATGTCATTTATTTCATGTCACATTGTAGAATTTGACATTTACTAAACGTCACAAACTGTATTCGGTTGTTTCTGCTTTATGAAGTATCACACATTACAACATTATTAAATTATTGTTTTATAGTATTATTTAATTAATTATCAAACTTATTGAAATTTGATAAATCAATGTAAATTTTCAAAATAATACGTCACGCATTTTATTTGTATGTCAAGAGGTTAAAAAAGAAAAGCTTATATATATAGTATTATATATTTTAGTAATTTAATATAATAATGAAAAAATGGAGCATTTTTTATCTCTAATTTATACTAACGTAGTCACATATTTTTATTACATTAAAAATCTTTCATCTAATAATGTTTTACTGCTTAAATTGTTTCTTCCATTATGTTTCATAATTTTCATAAATAACTGTGATAGTATAAATGTAATTGCAGCAGCTAATATATAATTATCGTATAAAGTTAAAAGGAAAAGAAATATTGTTATTTCTAGAGTTGCCATCAACCATTCGTTTCCGTAAAGTATTATTTGGCTAAATGAATAATCATTATCTGTAATAATAGGATAAATTATATTTTAATTTTATAGAACTATAATTATTGAATGTTGCTACCCTTACCAATATAAAAGACAGATGTTTTGTTAGTATTTGTATTAAGAATACCACAAAGTTTTTCAATTAAATGTTGTTCTTTGATAATATAATCTTCATCTTTGAAACAATGATCCAGAAATTCACGTAAAAATTGATTCAATTTTATACGTGTATTACAAATCTGATTACAATCCATGGAAGTATAAATATTTTGTTTGAAAAATCCATTGGTTATCTAAAAAAAAAAAAAAAAAAACGTTTATTAATAAGATTGGAAGATATTTAATGAAAAATAATTTAGCTTTCTATTTACAGCTATTGATTATTTCAGAAAACTCACAAAATTTTTATCAGTATACAATTTTTCATAAAATGTTCTGAATGTCGGTGTTACTGTGACTATAAAATTTTGTTCTATTGTACCAGGAACCAGACCTCTATGGGCACATAATTGATTCTCTTCATTCTTCAAATTATTTATTAAAGTAAATAAATCTGTATCAGAAAATCCATGAACTGATCTATGAAATAGAATTAATTTAAATAATTAGCATTAAATATTTTATATTGTTCATTACAATAATCTATTCAATATTATTTATTACCTTCCATGAATATAAAATCCATAATAATTATATTCCAAGATAAATACACTGATATTAGCAATTGAACACAAATCAACAAATTGTTGCATTTGATTTTTTATAAATCTTTCGTAAAATATAATGGATATTAAATATTGAATAAAATAAATTGTAATGTATACTATAGCACAAACAGCATACTGTAATGAAAAATTCATTTTCACTTCAGGATATTTATTAATTGTTATTTCTGGTATAGCTAAGCTCCAATATTTTACACCTATTACCTAAAAATTGATAATTGATTAAAATTTATTAGCATTTTTATTGAATAAAGTAAAAAAAAAAAACAAAAAAAAACAAAAACATATTGTATTAATATTGAAACGAAATTACCTCTAAAACAAGCAAAGTACTAATTAATTGTAAGGATATATTTATTCTTCGTTTTGTTAATAATTTTAACCATTCGTTAGCAACAAGATATGTTCTCCAAATACTAACTGACATTTCAGTATTATCTTCTTTTTCCATTGAAGATTTAGAAATAGAATATGTTTCTTGAAATTCTTCTTTTTCTTCTTCTTTTTGTTCTTCTTCTTCTACGGGTTTGAAAATTTTACTCTGTACACTTTTCTTGTTTGCTTTTTTCAACGTTTTATTTCTTTTAGCTGCAATAATTTCAGATGGAGTTTTTGGATTCTCATCTTTACCGTCAATTAATATATTAGTATACAATTTTCGAAATGAAGTATAAGGAGAATCGTACTTTGATGAATCACGCGTTATTTTGGGCTGTTCCCAATCAATGAAAAATATGTATACATCCCAATGCTGATAAATGAATCCTATCATTTCTACAATCTGCAAAATGTGTGTGTGAAATAATTTAAATATAATGAATTATAAATTATTTTTTTTTTTATTGTATATATAATACTGTATAACATAAACTTACTTTTAAACCAAATCCAATGATAGTGAAGATCTGTATATTTTGTTCGTTGGATATATTTGGAAGTAAAGTGTAAGGGATCGTTTGCCCTTTAAAAAATATAAATATATATATGCATACGCTAATTGATATAATAATAAGGGTGTTTCCCATAGCACCCATTACATATATAAAGAACCATAATGAAACTGTTACGTTAGGAATGCAACTATAATTTTTTTTACAATATGTCCAAGTTTTTAATGCTGAATTAATAATTGCTATGCTTGATAAAACACCAATAAGTATCTGAAAATAATTTGAAATATATAAATCATAATTTAAATTGAAAGATATATTGTAACTTTAGAAAATTGTTATTTACTTGAATATTAGAATTAATATGATTTTCCTTTAAAGCAAATGTTACTTTATAATTTATTGCAACTTCTACGTTATTAGAAATTTCTTGTTCAGTTAATTCTCCATATTCTATAATCACTAAGGGTGGATGAATTCTTCCACGAGGTTTACTAGTTTGAATATTTACTCTAAAATCAAATAATATTACCAATAATGTTATATTAAAATGTATTTGAATAATATTCACACACAAAAATATAACTTACAAGATAGTAAATGATTTCATGTAACGAAGTACAGACAATTTAGATTTTTTTAGAAATGTTCCAGTCACAAAATTTGGTAATGCTTTAATACCACTTATGTTGTCTACCAAAAAGAATTTTCTAACAAGTTGTTTCTCCGATATATCATAATCATTCTGAAATATTGAAATAATATATAAATTATATATAAACGAATGCATTTATAATTATACTAAATTTGATGTTAACATATTTTTTTACTACCTCGTATTCTTTTTTAATATAAATTGGTATTGCATGAGAAAGAACTTTTTCTTCCTCCTTATATGTTAAATACAATTGTTGAAATTGTATTCTCATATTTAGAAGATCCTTTACAGTGATTATACATTTTTTATTAAGATTAACTCCAAATCTAACGTTTGTAAGAAAATGACAAGGCATGCTTGGATTACCTATTTCAAGTAATTTGCCTTCTAAAGAAAATGTTGCCATTGTAAAATTCAATGTATTGTTCTAAAACAAAAACAAAAAAAAGAAATGTTTCAATTTTACAGAAAAGCAAGTTGATTTTTATAAAATAGATATAATAGAAAAATACATCGTCATCCTTTTTCAAGCTGTATATTTGTGAGATATTATTGGCATTTAATATTAATGATGTTTCATCTTTATTGTAAAATAATTTGATTGGTGCCATATGCGTTTGCATAAATAATGCACATTGTATGCTGTTTACATATAAAGTTAAAACGCATATGTGGGATAAATGTTCGCAAGACAACTTGTCTTTATTCTGAAAAATGATATTAATAAGTTTATAAATATAAGGAATATTTTGTAAGTTTTGTAAGAACAATTTTTTTACTTACTTTACAAAAGTACATAGCTGCTTGTAATTCAGTTCTAAGATAATAACTGTCTACAGTCTCGCTTTGAAATTTTATTGTATAAGTACTTTTAATATCTGGCCAATCCGATAGATTATCTTTGTTTAAACAATATCCTTGTATTCTAACATGTGATCCTAATGGACAATTACAACTTCCTTGATTTCTATTATCCAAATTATTACATGGTAAACATTTGGAATTCGTAGTAGATGGATATGTATCTTTTGGACACGGAAGACATTTTATTTTATTCAATAATGTACCATCCCAGTTTCTTTCCACTGTAAAAAAAGAAAAAAAAAACAAAAAAAAACAAATATTAAAATATAGTTTTGCAATGAATTTATTCATAAGAATATGAAGCATATATGATGTATTTTTATAAAAAAAAATTACTTGGTATATCATTGGATGAACATTTGCAGATATTATTTGGACAAACAATACAGTCCTTGCCATCAGTAGTTACAGTTTCATTATAATTACATTTTGCACAAATGGGATTACCATTTTTAAAACCGATTGTTTTACTAAATTTATTACAAACGCATCGTAAATCTGTAAAAAAAAAAAAAAAAATAAATAAATACAATAAAATACATAAATAAATTATAAAGATGTAATATTTATGTTGGTACAATTTATAAATAAAAAATTATGATAGATTTGAGACTTACGATCAGTACTGGGTTCAAGAAATTCGAAGATATTACATTTGCGACAAGAAAAATATTTTGTATCGAAGTATTCGTCATTTTGACACAAATTAGGTTGTGATAATTGAAAAATGTCATTATTTGTACCAATCGTATTGTCAATTGTTACAAGAATTATTATAAAACATAAAATAATACGATTATTGTCGAAGTAATGCATTCTTAGTTTAGTCTATTACAATTTTGTTTATACTACATAGTCGTTTCTATGGTAACAAGATGACTACAAACATAACGTGAGGGATATCATGAATGAAATTATACATATAAACGAATTTTATGTTCCTTCCTTATTTTTTTTTTTTAGTTTTATAATTACATATATATATATAAATATTATTTATTTAAATTAATTCATTTTACATTAAGAGTAAAATGTATGCAAAAGATAGACAGCTGTAACGAAACTAAATTTGTCTTCGTGCCTCGAATGATAAGATTTCTTCAAAAAATATTATTATAATTTTGTTTACTATTGAATTATTTATTTTAAGATATTATTTATCATGCTATGGTGTCCGATAAGCTAATATCGTAATACATATCAATGATACACGTGATTTATAGTAAGTAAAGCAGGGTACCGTGTCAATGATATAGTTTCGAAACAATGATGCGTAATTTAAATGTGTGCATCGCGATTGATATTTGCCTCTATTGCGATTAATCTAAAAATAAAATTATTGTAAAAGAAATATATATATATATATATATATATATATATATATATATATATGTATTAATTTCAAAACGTACATATATATTTTTATTGCTTAAAAAATATTGATCGATATAATATAATAAAAATTAATTTTATAACAATTTTATTGTTCCTTTTAGAATTAAGAATAAAATTATAGTTCATTACAAAACAGAAATCGAACATATAATCTCTTGTATACTAATTAAAAATATTTCGATGATTTGCTACAATTAACTGTATGTCCTTGCCGCCAACATCGAAAATTTAACAAGAAATTCACGTCAAAGTGACGTATTATGTTCATTCATTTTACAAGAGACCAAGATTTTCCTGATTTTACCTAAACGTTCTTTGCCAAGATACATATTTAATTAAATACTTACTTATATATATAAATATTCTAATAGTTTTCAAAGCGTAAGCGCGAAAATTTCAAAGTTTAAATAAACGAGAGATCGATTGATATCGAAGTTTCTTTTTTTTTAAATCAAAATGGCGACATTACCGGGAAATTTGAGAGAAAGTTTGAAGTAAAAATTGTTGCATTCATTTAGGGAACAATGAATTTGAGTGATAGAAAATGATGATGATAAAAAAAAAAGTAGATAATGAAAGAGATGATTAGATAGATAGACAGATAGATAGATAAAAAATAAAGAGAGAGAGAGAGAGAGAGAGAAAAAAAAGAAAGAAAAATTAGCACGAGGACAAAGTGGCGAACTTGCAAGAGAAGTACGTGCATAGGCGCGTTAAGAAAGGGACGGATAATATGTTGTACAACAAGAATCAAAAACAACGATTCACTTAGCATTTCTCGTGCCAAAGGTTCCCCCACCAACTTTCAAATCGAAGGGACACGAGCCCCGAAGAAGTAGGGGTACCTACATGAGAAAATGTTATAAGCGAAAATAAAAGCAAGAAAGAAGGCAAGGTCCCCGCGAGTGGCAAAGCTTCTTAGACGAGAGGGTAGTTTTTTTTTTCAGTTCAGTGCAGGTGCTTAGTTGAGCGAGCGTCGTAGCACAGGTATATCGAATCTTTTTATCCTCATTTTCTTCTTCTTCTTCTTCTTCTTCTTTTTCTTTTACTTCATATTTTTTTTTAAAACGTGATTCGTTTTGTTCTATCGTTTGAAAGACACTTCATTTTATTTCTATTTTTTGTTTTTCTTACTTACTTCGGTATAAAATCGTGTTTAAAATCGTGATTGGACAATTTGTTGATAAGTTATTACAAAAAAAAAAAACAAAAAAGGAACGAAGTGTGGTGAATATCCTGCGGTGTAATCAATCTTTTTACTTTTCTTTGAATAAATTCATATGTTTTTTTTTTATTTATTATTATTATTATTATTATTATAAATGGTACTATTAGATAAAAAAGATCGATAGATAGGAATAGTCAAATGACTTGTTGCGGCAATAATGTGGCCTGTTTCTCCACACAAGACAAATATACTCTTCTCTTGTCTAAATATAACAATTAGAATCGAAGTTGACGCTTGAGCGATCGACAAACCGAGAAATCGTGTCTTATATTGTGGCTTTTAATTAAAAGGGAGAAGGGGAGGGATTACATAAAGCTCGTTTACCTTCGATCGATCGTAAAATGACTTTGCAGGCTCTCTGAGGAGAATCGAAAAAAAAGGAAGAAGAAGAAGAAGAAGAAGAAGAAGAAGAAGAAGAAGAAGAAGAAGAAATAAAAAAAAGAAAACGTCAAGATGTGGGATGATGAGGCACCTGCGTGGGAATTCGAAGAAACTCCAGCAGAACAGCCTGCAGAAGGTGCAGAAGGTGCAGAGGGTGCTCCAGCAGAGGGTGAAGCTGCTGAAAAACCAAAAATCAAACTCTTAAAGCTCGAACCTCCGAAGTACAATCATCACTGGGTGCGCCCATTGTTTCTAAATTATGACTATCTTTATGATTACAGGTAAGAAACACACACACACACACAAAATACACACACATACACACAAAAATAATTCAAAACTATAGACAAAAGTGAAAAAAAGTGAGGTGAAATGAAAAATATACAATTGTGAATGAATACAAATGAAACGAAGCAGCAAATAAATAATAAAACAACAAAATTCGTGATTGTTTTATAGGCAAAATTATTACAACGATGTAATTGACTACCTCAATCAAAGAGCAAGAGGTTTGTTCCGTGAACCTCCAAGAGCACAGGAATGGGCTGAAAGGGCTTTGAGGATGTACGATGCAAAGAATATCGATAGGAGTTTCAAGAGATCAGCTGATATGAAGTACATTACTAAAATGGATCTAACCCCACGACATTACAGTTATCATACGCGAGCATATTATAGTTTGAAGTATCAGAAAATTCTTTGAGATATTATTTTTCATAAAGAAAGATCGATGATTAACAATTTTACACAATTGTTCTTCGTCGATGCTGTTATTATCGATAAAACTATTGGTAAGCTGTTAATCCTTCTTTATATATATATATTTTTTTGTTCCTCAATCGGCTTACCTGTATAAATCCTGTAAAAATTAATGTTATTTCCTTACAAAATAAGGATATGTTGTATTTTTCAAATGAATTGTAGTCTCGATAGATATTTATTATAATTATTAGATCTTTCTTTCTTTCTTTCTTTATAAAATTGAGTTAATTAATGGTCATACGTTTTACTTATCTTGAACAAAATTCATTTATTTAATAACACGTATTTGTCATCTAATTTCTTTTTTTTTTTTTTTTTGGTCTCTGTATTTTCATTTCTAGATAATTTCGATTCGATTTCATACGCGTATTATTCATTTATTTTCGTATACAAATGTTCACGATAAACAACAACAATTATTTGAACATTCGCATTAAACTACGATAATTCTTTTATTCAATCATATCTGCAAATTAATTATCATTCATTTTATGATATTATATTTGACGTGCTCGTGTACTATGACTATTGTATGTGTATTGTTACTATATAAATCGGTATTATATAATAATATACACGTGCACTTTTAATAACAAGATTTATCATTGATTTTTATTCCCTTTTACTTTTATTATTCTCCTCATCAATTATTTGAATATTATCAAATTTTAAAGATGGCAGGGAGAAGAGGGGTAAGTATCATCGTGTGCATACGTGTTACATGAACTTAGGTACGAATGGAAATAAGTTTTCGTTATTTCTTACATGAAATTAATGACAATCTGAAAATTAACAACAATTTCAAATTTTATTGTAAATATATATTCGCATGAAAGTGTAACATAGCCATATTAATATTCAACTTAGTACAACTTGGATATGTATATATATATATATATATATATATATGTAAATGTAAATGAATATGTATATACAGTTTTCAATGAAAATACACATTTGAAAAGGGTGAAATTGTGAATAACAAATTAAGTCCGATGTAATCGCGATTAATGGATAAAATGCATTTTCCTTATTTTTTTTTTTGGTGTTCATTTTTCTTGTCTTTGTTGTTTGTTTGTTTTTTTTTGTTTTAAAAGGAAACACTCTTCTTTCGTTTAAGAAATTTTCTCTTTATCGGTTGCATGGCAATTACATCTAACGGATCTTCGATAAATTCTTTAGCATCGGCTAAAGAATTTAATCTTGATCTTCCATTTGAAATACGAGGGGTTGTTGTTGTTGTTATTTCCGGTTCTGCATTTTGTGTTCTTGCCCATTGTAATATTATTTCCGGTTTGGCTTTAGATTTATCAGGAACCAATTCTAAATTAGCCAATTTTCTTGATCTGTCTAATTTTTGTGTTAAAGTAACGTTGTCATCTAGATCGTCCTCGTTATTGTCGAATTTAGTTGCGTGTTTTTGAAATGCATTACCGGCGGCCTCCAACGTGTTCCTAGCCTTCTCAATTTCGGCGTTCAAATCGATTACGTCGAAAATACGATCCTGAAATGAAAGAGGAACAATAATAAAAAAAAAAAAAAAAACAAAAATAAAATAAAATCAATTAATATTAAAAAGAAAATAAATATCGTCGAATCGCGGGGATAACTTTATCGTAGATCAGTGCAAAATTTCAGCCTATAAGAACGATTTAAAAGTGCATAATGTCGTACATAAATAAATCAGCTTTGTTTTTTGTTTTTTTTTTGTTTTTTTTTGCACGCATTAAGAGGGTATTTTGGTTTACAGTATATTACAAAAATCTATCACAATTGTTTCTCCAAAATCTTGAAAAAAAAAATCTCATTTAAATTCAATATTCAAAAATATATCATACGAAAACATCGATCACTCTTCTTCCCCCCATAATAGTTTTACATTAGTAATTTAAAACTGTATACAGTTAAAAAAAATACAAATCCATTAGTTCCAAATACTATTTATACGACAAATCCTCTCTCCCATTCATATATATATATATATAGTTTCTTTTTTCTTTTCGTCATATATTTAAGTGCAATAAGAATTTATTTTTGTTTCGTCTAAATGATAAAAAAATAACAGCTGAACATGTTTCATTGACACATCGAAATTGTATGAAAACACAACGTGGGTTTTTTTTTATTAAAAAAAAAAAAAAAAATGTCTCTTTTTTTTCGAAACGTTATATAAATAGAAAAAAAAGATCAAAATTATAGCAGCCATTCGGTGGAAAAAGCAAGCAATAAAAAAAAAACAAAAAGGTATTTTTTAATGCAACACGCGTATCACAAAATTTCGTAATAAATATTGCAAAATATAGGGTTACTTTCAAAATAAAATGAAACACCATTGACAAATGTGAACGAGAGTAGAAATGAGAATTTAAAAAATGAATTCGTACAAAACAAAAAAAACAAAAAAAACAAAAAAACAAAAAAAACACTTGTAGATTCAAAAAAAAAAAAAATAAAAGAAAAAGAATGTTGTTTTTCTGAACCAGAATACCCTCTCAAAAGAAGTGAACCTGCATGTCTCTTCTCTTGCGTCTCAATTCGGCCAAATCTTCCTCGAAGGCAGCCGCGGCACGTTCTTTGTAACGTCGTTGATTCAAAACGAAATCATCTTCGAAATCGTCCTCCGGAAGTGCTCTGCCACGTCCGTCGAAAATAAAGTCCAGATCGTCGTAATAATCGCCACGATTTCCCGATACGTTTCGGGAGCCTGAAATGTTAGTGGGTAGGTGTTAAACTAGTAATAAGGATTCAAATGTTTAATAATGAAGTTAAATGCCTGTAAAAATGTAAATGTGTTACAGTACAAGTTTTACACGATCAGGATGACTTATGTAAAAGTGTTACTATGATTTTATATATAATTATTATTATTATTATATATTTTTGTTTCTTTTTTTTTAATTTATGTTATAAAATAAAAGGATGATTATATCGGGTTTAGTAAATAAATAATATTATTGAATTAATTCATAATTAAAATTCAATTCAATTTAAATGGGAGAATTAATATTAAAGTTAATTTCCTTTTTTTTTTTTTTTTATGTTTGATATTTTTAACTGTTGCGATGAAAACTGTTCGTAACGTTTTACGTTGGCCATCCTGTATATAAATTTGAAATATCTATTTTTGTGTATCGTCAAACGACTAGTCAAGATTATATCTCGATTGTATTTAGTAATACCACCTTACCATTTTATAATTTCGTCGTTAGATTTTATTACGTCATTATGCAAGTAACAATCAAATTATATTTTACTAAAGTAACATGCACGAAGAAGATGAAGAAGAAGAAGAAGAAAAAGAGGTAAAAGGATAATACGTGCATGCCTGAAAAGTGCAAATTACAAAAGCATGACAGGATAAATCAACGATGAAAGAAAACAGCAGTACGATATCAATAAAGGTAGTACATGTTGTTCCTCAAGTTTTACAACAAAATTTATTGGTTTATACGAGAAAGAAAAAAAGATATATGTATATATATATACATATAAATATACATATATACTGTAGCGTGCAGAGACATAGAGAAGTAGTTTCTTACTTAACATTTAAACTTTACAAGAACACTTACTATATACTGTAATATATTTTTGTAATGTACATATGTATATATTTGATTGAAAAGTCTTTTTTCTTTGTATGTATTTTTTCGTTTTTTTTTTTTTTGTAAATCTTTTTAAATAAACGTGCATTCCCTTCTTCGCAAAGAGACACAATCAAATTTCGTGAAATTGTTCAATAAAACGAGGGAATACTAGGATAGGGTGGTCACAATAGTTTGTTTTTTGGTGACGTAATAAAATAATTGATTTATCTTTACTTATATGAGTTATAGATAATAACTCGTGATTGTCTACGCATAGATCATAATAATCCTTTTACTCTCAAAAATTACTTAATTAAATACTATTATAAAATGAAATGAAATGAAATAAAATGTGAAAAAAAAAAAAAAAACTACTACCTGTGTATCCTGTATAAATTAAAAATACATAATATCGATGATTCGATGCATGTAAATGAACAAAAAATATTCATTAACACGTCCTTAGAATTTCAATCGATTTCAATCGTAAGCAATGCACAATAAAGATAATCGACTAACAATAAATACATTTTATGATACAATTGGACAATTTTTATAGCGGTTAAAGTGAGGTTAGAGCATCGTGTGATCGCAATGAATATACAGACAAAGAGAGAAAAAGGAAAAAACAGAGAGAGAGAGAGAGAGAGAGAGAAAGAGATAGAAAGAGATAGAAAGAAAGAATCATGAGCTAGAGTTTGAACTAAAAGGTGACATGTTTTTCGGTACGTTCGTTACGCATGGAAATTTTTTTGCTGCTGCTAGTGAGGGCGGCTGAGGATCGTTGATAATCGTCGATAATAGGAGGGGAAGGTGGTGACGAAGTTGTAATACTCTCATTGACGAGCGCCCTCAAAGCAGCAGCCCTGCGTTCTCTCTTGGCTTGTCTCTCGGCCAATTCTTCCATCTCGGATTCGAGATCATCGAGACGTGCTTTCGTTTGTCTGGCTCGAGTGGCAGCCGCATTAGAGAGCAACGTGTCCTCTTCGTTATCATTTATCAATTTGGACCACCTGGTCAAAGACGATGGTTGTTGTTTTTCCAAATCATCGCCTACACCGCCGCCGATCGATGTTAAAATCTTTGAACGTCTTTTGAAAGCAGCCGAATCGAAATCCTCGATCTTCTTATTCAGTACGGAGTCCATATCTTGATCAAGTTCCATCGCTGCCACTTTAGCCTTGAAACGACGCGTCGTAGATGCTACCTCATTTGCAAAATCATCCGCGAATTTTCGTTGAGTCCTTTGTCCACGGCTATCGAAGACCGTCTCCTCATCCTCGCCAGGGAGTAGAAGAGGGTTGTGCTCGGTGCTGGTCAAGGGTGATAGTACTTGGGAGGCACGGGTACGAGGGTCGAGGTCGAGGTCAAGGTCACGCCCGAAAGTGTCGTTCCGAGGACCAGAAAGGTCTCGCGAGCCTGTAAAAACCGACAGAATTTTTCATCTATTTCGCGGACCTAACCGTCTGTATCATGCGTATCGTATATACGTATCATGCGTATGTGGTGATGAACATAATTGATCCTATGTTTTATGATTTACAATTTTTCATTAATGTTCTCGACATAATTCCTACAATAGATTAATTGATTGAATAAATTAATTACTCGTTCAGTTTTAAAGAGCATATGATCAATTTTGTGATTCACCGTAATTCCCTGTACTTTATGACGTCTATTCACTCACATCTATTAATTTAAGTATTTACAAACGATCCTTCCTTTATCCTGCATGTCTGCTCGTTTCTCTCGATTCCCAAGGAATTTCTAATTATCGAATTTAATCCTAAATTTATTCATCTATTTCTAACATTACACACCCTGGGATATGATTTCGATTTTAGAATGACGTTCGAAGAATAATCGAAAATAAATTTTGTTCTTTTACGCTGTTCCTCGACTCGAGTACGAAGCAATCTTTTTACCTGTACCTTATTACTATTATTATTATTATTATTATTGTTATATTATTGTCTTTTTTTTATTATTATTTTTTTTTTCATTTTACAGCCTTATAACAATTGTAAATTTAACGCGACTTAAAACGGCTTTAGACTTTAGTCGGCATTAAGTCATATATTTAGAAAAAAAGCAAACATTTATTCGTCAAACAGAATATTATACAATGATTACGGACAATAAATCTGAACATTGAGAATAACTACACACACACAAGAAGAATAAGAAGAAGAAGAAGAGTAATAGAGACGAAGAATACGTTTTAGGTTATGTATCCTCGATCGTTGCTGTAATTTCATTAATTGTAAAATCTTATTATTTTGTTGTTTCTTTTTTCCACATATATTGAAAATTGTAAATGTATTCATATATATATATATATTTTTTGTTTGTTTGTTTGTAAAATTAAACTATAACACATTCTATGTTATCGGATGATCAATTTTCAAAGGAACGGTGTAACGAAGGACAGTTTTATCCTTTAGGAGGAAAGAAAAAAAAACATGCTAAATACGATTATATATAAAAGGAGAACCAGGATAAAATGTGTATCTCAATTATTCATCATTTACAACGGATCTATTGAACACCTTGTCAACATTTCAAAAAAAGGTGGCATAAGGGTTGTCAAGGGGGTAAGAAGGGGAGTACTTTCATTCCTCAAAACCATTTGGGAAAACGACTGAAGAGGTTACCGATGTCGCCTCGACGGGCCGCGATTTCATCGGCTATCGACGATCTTGGCTCGGAGAATAAGGGCCGAGCACAGTACTTCCTGTCCAAGTGGTCAACCATTGGCTTGTAATAGGATTCCCCCTTGTCGTAATTGCATCCATAAACGCGCGTACGCGGCCTGCTAAGTATTGGCCTCGACATATCTGCTTCACACTTTTTTTGGGGGGGTGGTTTATTGCCCTTTTTTTATTTCTGTAATAAATAATCGATCAATTATAAATTCATTCGATGATGATGATGAGTAATATCAATTCTAATTGTCATAAATAATATATAGATTATCGTTTATCGAATTACATTTAAAACGAGTAAAGTAAAGACGTGTGTGATAAGCAAGAGGAAAAAAGAAAATGGAGAAAGGAAAAAAAGAAAATGATTTCGTCTAATGTCAGACAATGTTATAAAGACGATACTCGTCTTATTTTATTTGGCTACGATCCAATAATCTCGTGCGTTCTTGCGTAGGATTGTGAAAATGAACGATGGATAACAGACGCGATGATTATGGTGACGCGTGGTTGTAACGATACGGTAAGATGATAAGTTGAAAGGGTAGAGAATATGATAGATTTGGTTTCTAACGTTTACAATTACAGAAAGAGAAAGATCAAAAAAATTAAATGTGAGAGAGAGAAAAAGAAAAAAAAAATGAGAGAAGGTTTCGAGTGTGTGAGGAACCAGTAAACTGGAACGAGCAACTATCTATATACTGGTCTCAAAAATAGACCGCATCTAATTTGGTGCCCGTGAACCGAACTGGCACGGTACACGCGATCCCGGGACAACCGAGACCAAGTACCAACAGTGTAAATCCCAAAGAATCGTTCTTCCTTGTCTTTTCTTCAGGGGCACCACTCGAAACTATAACGCAAACGTTTGGAGAATAGCATGAGCAATCAAAAACATCGTTACCATTTATTATTATTTTCATTTACGATTGAACGATCTCTCCTTCGGAATAATTTAAATGTGTAAACGCGTGAAATTATTTTCTAATTTGAAACACGATTAGATGCCAATTTTGTTGCATACACCTGCAACAATTTGTTTTATTATTTGAAAGATATCAAATTGTTGTCATCTTCTCTCCTGGGTGTGATCTTACTTGGTAAACGAAAATGAGTTTATTGTGAAAACAATTGTAATGATATCTCTCTTCCAAATCGTTTCCGATTACATCGATTATTTTTATTTAATTTACAAATATCTGGATATATGCCCAAGTTTTATAGAATACAATTATGATATTTCCTTGAACGTTTTTACTTTATTATTATCAGAATTCGTGTAAAAAGATATTTCAACGAGATGGTCCAAATCGACGACGAGGTGGCAAATGACAAAACTTGATATGTAAATACTTCGTACTTGTATAGAAGAAGCTATTAATGCATCAACCGATTAGATCGTTCACTCGACTTAATTGGCTTCTACATGTATTTGGCTCACGTCTAATAAGCCAAACGTATTTGTAATTTAGAACAAAGTACTTTATTGCTCAATCTTTCTTTCATGCCCGTGCTAGGTATTTTACTATGTGTAACGATATAGTAATCGTGTGTTTACACACATGAGACATTGAAACCATGAGAGTTTAATTAAAAGAAATATTCAATGAAAATATAGAATTAATTAGGAAATCAACTAATCTCGGATAAGAGTTAAATGTATATTATTTTGAAATTATTATTATTATTATTACTGTTATTATAGATTATCAGGTTACCTTAATGATAATTTATTAGAATCTTTAATGCCATAACAAAAAATATATTCCGAGGGCTTAGCCAACACAGATCTATCGTTCTCGTAAAATACAACAATAGAAATACGAAGCCGTTCTTTGACACGATAAAAATTGGCTAGTATCGTTACTAGGGCATCCCTAAATTAAATCATTTAAAACGGACGATTAAGAAATGCCAAAATTTACGAGACACCTCGCGGAAAGACATGGTGATGTGCTAGTGACATGCTAGACATTTTAAATGATAACGGATTATATTCTATTAAATATGTATAATGTTAACTGTTTTAGATTGTGAGTCAGACCTCCCAACGAATCACTTAAATATTTATGTACATGTGTATTTTGTTTTCTTACGTATTCGTTTTAAATATATAATTTTCTTTAAACAAATCTTCTTTGTGGAATTGTTGGCTTATTTTCGTTTTACATATATATATATATATACAGATATTTATACATATCGTAATTTTCTGATTCATTAAATTAAGATACCGAAAGTGATGCGATTGCTAAAGAATCCAAGAGTTTATTACAAGAAAGATTTTTAAATAACTTTCACACATTTTACTCTATTTATTTTATTATACATAAAAGAGATCTTCTAATTTATTTTAACGAAATAATCATTTTAATTTGTACTACTGATTTTAATCATGATTAATTAGAATTGTATCTGGAATTAGTATATACAGTATTCATGGTGTTACGCTTCTACCGTTAGTACGTTGCGTAAGATAGCCAGATTTAGATCTAGAGAGTCGTTTAAAAACAGTGATATCGATTACAAAATAATCTAAACTATGATTCTATGATAAAAAATTGTTCATTTTTTTTTTTTTTTTGAAAATCAATGCAGGATTTTTGAACGATTTTACAAGTCAGTCCTGTACAATAGAAATGCATTCACAAATACTGAACTATGTTAATCGTAAGATACAAATGAAACGTTTAGGTATTAATTAACGATTTAATTATTTTTCTTAAAGGATAAAATAAGTATTTTATTCGTAAACAATTAGATTGATATTAAACAATTTTATCATTGTTTATTTCATAATTGACTTAATATGAATGCGACAAATTGATAAATCATTTGCAAACGTTTGAATTTTGAATTGATTTTATTTTTGTATTTTGGAATAATTGTTATAAAAAATAATAGCAGGAGTAAATCATGTATTTATAAAGAGGTTGAATAAAATAGGTCAATCTTACCTGAGTATGATTTTTACAAGGTATCCCTTAAGGTGCTGCTGTTTCTTCGAAAGTAGAGCCGCGACTCCCACGGTCGTCGGATGCCCGTTGTTTCCCACTCCCTTGGGGTACTACCCCTTCCTCTTTATGCTTCCTACTAGGATGCTATTCCCAGTAATTTATTCATACCCTGGTGGGCGTTCGCCCACTTCTACTTTCAAGTTCTTCAAGATTTTTCCCATTCCTCCTGTATCACCTAATATTATTTAATTTAATTTTTTTTTTTTTTTAGTATACAGATTTCTTATTTTTTATATATTTTTTAATTTTATTTATAATATTTTAATAATCTAAAATAAATAATTGTATATTATTTTATTGAATATAGTTTTAAACTTTGATTTTAATTCAAATTTAATTTGAACAAACAAGATTTTATCTATGCATGTATCTATATCTACTTTATACGTGTTTTAATAAATACATCACTGCAAGGATTGAGCATAAATTGAAATATATTCTGTAATTTATTGTTTTTACTACGTTTCTTCGAATATCTGATCTATTATAAGCTTAAAATTATCGGCTATTACAAATTTCCTGGCAAGTAGCATCAAACACGAGTAGCGCGCTTTTTCAAATCTCGAGTTCTTCTAAATCATTCCAGATGGCACTGCGTGTTGATGAAAAATGAAAGTGTATATGGAAGGAAAGAGACATAAGTAGAAACACGTGGATTTCTATACCGCCTAAGTGTTATTTTCAAACAATAAATATTAAAATGATAGATTGTAATTAATAAGAGATTATTTAAAAAAATGTCAACGATGATTAAACAAGTTATTTCCAATAGGATAGTTTTACAACTATCAAGTTTATATCGTTTCAATCGTATCAACCAATTTTCTAACAATATTCCAAATGATCAAGAAGACAATGTTTCAAATAAAAGAACAACAACAATTGATGAAAAAACATCGCAAGATGAATTAAATAATACTTCTGAAGAGAAAGAACTTCAACGTCTTCTTAAAGAAGCTGCAACTTACAGTGATGCCAAAGATACAAATTGGGTTACAACACCTTATCCTGCTAATGCACCAACCTCTGTGGAAGAGGATAAAATAGAGGTACCTAAAATTGACCCAAGAGATAGAACAATAATACTTTTTCCAGGACAAGGGATTCTCAAAGTTGGCGCTGTTGAAAAATATTTAAGATATCCTGGTGCAAAAGAAATATTTGAAATAGCTAATGAAATTTTAGGATACAATCTATTAAAGATATGTTTAAAAGGTCCCCAAGAAAAATTAGATCAAACGAGATTTAATCAACCAGCTACGGTTGTTTCATCGTTGGCTGCATTAGAAAAAATACGAGAAGACAGGCCAAAAGTATTTGAAAATTGTGCAGGTGTTGCTGGATACAGTGTTGGCGAATTGAGTGCATTGATTTTTTCAGGAGCTATCTCTGTTGAAGATGGTATCAGATTGGTAGCAGTTAGGGGTAATATGATGCAAGTTGCATCCGACAAATCACGTCAAGGAATGTTATCCGTTTATTGTTCTCCTACAGCAAAATTATCTAAGATATTACAAGATGCTGTATCTTGGGCTGTAGACTTGGGTGTGCCTGATCCTGTATGCAGAATATCCGTTTTTTTATATACTCAAAGTAAAATAATAGCTGGAAATGAAGAAGCATTGCAATATATAGAAAAGAACGGTCAGGCTATGGGTTTAACAAAAATAAAGAGGCTTCCAGTTTCAGGAGCTTTTCATACACCTCTCATGGAACCAGCTTTAAAAAAATTTTATGAAGCACTGGGTTCTGTAACCATAGAAGAACCAAGAACTGAAGTATATTCTAATTATACTGGGCTTCCTTATAGACATTTACGAACTATTAAAGCATTGTTATTAAAACAAATTGTATCACCGGTAAGATGGGAACAATGTATGCAAAGAATATATAACAGATCAGAAGGACAATTATTTCCAAGAACATTTGATGTTTGCTCTGGTGGACGAATGAGAGCTATTTTGAAATTAATTAATTCAAAAGCAGCTAATTCTTGTATAGTAATTTAATACAAAATTGTTTATTTATAAGAATATAAATGTTTTGCTAATATAAATGAAGTGTATACTGGTATTTATTATATGACAAAAATACTGACAATGATTTTAAATATAAATTTTTATATTTGTTAATATGTATTTTGTATATGAAAGAATGTGGAGTTTATATTCATATGAATATGAATAGTTTTCTTTTTCTTTTATAATGTATGTATGCACATATGTGTATTTTACGTGTTACTTCATTTATTCTTTTAATAAAATTAAATTAAAATTTTGTTGTATTAAAATTTTGAGAATAACAATTTGAATAATTATAAAAATTCAAAATTATATTATCTTTTTTTAAACATTTGGATGCGTTTAGAGAATATTTGTGAAAATAGAAACTGAGGTTAATTATGATTGAGTTTTGGAACACATGTGGTGTTTTGAGCATCTTGCGCATGTGCAGTGTCTTAAGTATCTTGCGCATGTGCAGTATCGTGAGCATCTTGCGCATGTCACGCAAAGCCAAATGAAGGTATACATATAATACCGGTAATACAATTTTTGTGATATTAAACATTGGAAAATAAATATTCTATTAACATCATGAAACTAGTAAGGTACGTATACTAATTAATTATTATTAAAATTTCATTTTCTTCATTATGAAGAATATAATACACATTTTGATACATTTCATATTAGAATATATAAAACCTAACCTTATTTTCTCAACGAATTAATGTCTTTTTAACCAGTCAATTTTATATAGAAAACAAATTAATAAATATCTTCTATGTAATATATTTTATTTTATAGATTTTTGATGAAACTCAGTCATGAGACTGTAACGATAGAACTAAAAAATGGAACTCAGGTACATGGTACAATTACAGGTATGTTAACATAACCTTTTTTGGAAATTATTATTCTAATCTAGCATTAAATATTTTTCTGTACTATTATCTATTCTTCGATAAATCATTTGTATAGTTTTAATATTTAACTTTATTTAATCTCTCTCTCTCTCTCTCTCTCTCTCTCTATATATATATATATATATATATATATATATATAATTTATTTTTAATACAAAATTATTTTGATTTAACTAATTGATTTCTGTCGCAATAGGTGTTGATGTAGCCATGAATACTCATTTAAAAACAGTAAAGATGATAATTAAGAATAGAGATCCTATTCAATTGGATACTTTAAGTTTACGAGGAAATAATATACGGTATTATATTCTACCTGAATGTCTTACATTAGAATCATTACTTATTGATGACACACCAAAGGCCAAAGCTAAGAAGAAAGAAGCTGCAAGAGGTTTGTAATAATTAATTATGATATATTAGGTCTACCGGATAGTTCTGTCCATTTAAAAAAAACACCGGTTCAATTTTTCGTCTTTTGGGATTAAACATTTTTTAAAAATGCAATATACACATTGTCATTACACTATAATAAAAAATTATAAATAATGATGATAATTGATAAATATTAGTCAATTAAAGAGATATGAAAATTGATTACTTTTGTTTTATTCTAAAAATGGACAGAACTTTCTGATAGACTTAATATATAGTTACATACATACCACAAAAATGAATAAAAGTAGGAACACAAAAAATACAAATTATTTATTACATTATTTTTTAGGAGCTGCACGTGGTAGAGGCCGTGGTGCCAGAGGTGGTAGAGGAGGTAGAGGAGGTAGAGGAAGAGGACGAGGCAGACGATAGTAACACTAAAATTATTGAGTATTATAAATGATTCTTCCACATGTGGATAATTGGAAAAAAATTGAAAAAAAAAGAAACAAATAATTGTTAATACAATATATGCGATATGATTATTTAATAAAATCTTTTTCATTGGGATTGTATTAAATTACAAATTAAATATTTGATAGTATTAAGTACAGAAAAACAGTTTAGAATATTTTTGATTATAGCGTAACCAGTACAAAAATAAAAAAAAAATGATTCTTCTATTAAATATAAGTCAAATGTACAATTTTATAATCTTATATATAATGCGTGTGAATATTTTATCATTCCACATACATATAACGTAATTTACATGTAAAAAAAAAAAAAAAAAACAAGTATAAAATTAATTAAACTTACAAGCGAAATTATTTTAAGAATAAACGTAAATATTTCTTCAATAATGTATACAAAATAATATTGCAATTTCAATTTAAAGAAGTTTAACTAACAATTTTATGTGTGACCAACTTCAATGCGTGTTTTTTTTTTCATTAAAATGGTTCTTCTAACCATTGTAACAAAAAAATTTGCATGCTTTTAGGAAGAATGCATCTAAATAAAATAATGTAATTTTATTTCATCGAACCTTTTGACAATATTATTCAAAATGTTTGTGTTTTATTATGTGGAGATCATCAAAAAGGGTTGTAGTTGGATGCATTCAATTAATTATGCGATGTGGTCGTAATAATGTCGACGTAGATGACATAGATGATATATCCGAGTACGACATTCATGATGTTTCTGGTAATTGCATAAATTCATTTATAAAAATTGCATTATAATTAAATTAATTAGTTCAAGAGACATAATAATACAGAAATATCTTGTCATTTTTATAAAAACAATTTTATTTTATATATTTATAAAATGTATTCTATTAAAAAATAATATAATAATCTACTAAAAAAAAAAAAAAAAGAAAAAAAAACAAGAAGAAGACAAAGAGAGTACATTTTTGTTGTTATAAGATATGAATGTAATTTTTGCTATGGAGTAGTCATGTATATTTTAGACTCGATGCATTATAGAGAAATCGATAGTTAACTGCTTCTCGTGACCGTGATATAACCCACCTTTCACGGTTCAATGTCCACCAGTGCATTTCCAACCGCAAATCTTCCCTATGGCTATGCAACAACGGCAAGAAGACTTTCAACATAGACCAGATGCACCGGGAACGAGAAGACGTTCACCACCTGAAATTATTTCTAAAATGATTCAAGCTTTGGAAGAATTGACGGAAAGTAATTCGTTGCCAGCCGTCGACAAGGTGCACGGTTCTCATCAACTTAATTTCAAATCTTCCTTTTGACCGGTATACGAAGAAAATAGTTGATATTTTAATATGTATTTTAATATACAACGACGTGTAACGAGAATTATCGTTCAATTTTAATAACATTCGATATTGAAGATAACTAGCGTTACTTCAAATATTTCTACATCTTATTTTACTTTTATTTCTATCTTCTCACCTGTTTCTCATCTTCCTCAATTTTCTCTCGAACATCTTATTATTATCCATGTTTTTTTTTTTTTTTTTTTTTTTTTTTTTTTTCATTTGTATAAGTCTTATTATACGTTTTAAAATTAAACAATGTTTTGCAACGAAATAAAAATAAAATTACATCGTTAACGTTTACAACCGATCAAGCGGAAATAATAAGCTGATTACGCGGGTTTATATAAAGCGAATAAAACTTCAGGACAATTTGTTTTCTAAGTGGTAAAAATAGCGTAGAACAATATTGCAAACAAATAGTTTATAAGTATATGTATATTTATAAGAATACTCTCTCTGTTAATCGTTGATTTTCGTTTAAAAAACATTTTTCTTTTATTGTATATTACTAAATTATTATTATTATTATCATCATCATGTCGTAGAACGGAGAAGCATATATTTTTGTTGAATTTCTAATTGTTCATTTAGTAAGTTTAAAAAATGATCGTTTTATTTGTATCAAAATAATTGATGTAATACAAAAAAGAGCAGTTTACGTTAGAAAGGGAACATTAGTTAATGAAATATTACAATTGCTTGTTAAATTAAAGGATTGGTCGTATGCCTCTAGGGTATGCCATATTAGAAACCTAATCCTTTCACATTCGTTGTTTTTCTTCACATTCAAGTCGGTTCATTGAGCTCGAGTCGTAAGATACGATTACAAGATGTTATCGATACGAAAATAAAATTAACTCGAGATTATAGACAGGATAAAAAAAAAAAAAAAAAAAAACAAACAAACAAACAAACAAATATACAAAAATATATGTACATTTATAAAAATCCAATAATTCCACAAGCCAATCGTGCTCCGGATGATCCAGTTTTAATACTTTCTTCGGTTCCTCCTCTACCAAAATCATCGGGTTTTGCGTGTATCACCAAAGCCCTTCCAACGGCACCACGTACTCCAACCAAACTCAAGTAACGATCCATACCATCGATACGAGCTATTCCATCAAGACCAACCTCGACGTTACCCAAATCACCGACATGTCTCAACGGATCATTTGGTGCTCCATGATTTACCTATTATGCATCATGCATAGAAATACATATATACAAAATATACTGTAACGCGAAATGAAAAAAAAAGTACAAATGTATATTATTCATATTACCATGTATGGGTTAAAATGAGGTCCAGCCGAATCACATCCTTTTCTAAGATCACCCTTTTCGTGAACATGAAATCCATGTAAACCAGGACTCAATCCTGTTATAGTTCCAGTTATCCTGACCCCATCTGCTTGTTGTTCCAGTGTTAAACTACCTCTAGGACCATTTATTGGTGATCCATCTTTTCCAAGAGCTTTCATCTCAACCACTGCTTTCAATCCAATTACCTGCATATTTCAAGACAAAACACATTCATCACAAACGGAAGAGAAGAAAGGAAAGATAAGATATAAGATTGAATATTTGTTGATACGTACAAAGTAATATGGTTCCATGTAAACTTCGTACAGGTTGCTTCTACTTCCAGGATAACCAGGAAGACTTCTTATGAACAGTGTCCTGTCGTTTATCGTCATCATCGTTCCCTCATAAACTTCAGCGTATGTTTTCCATCTTACCAGAAGGATTACTAAGATTGCGATTCTTAATAATTTGTGCATCTTATAATATGGTACACCAAGTTATTCTTATTAGAAAGATTCGTTCCTTCTCGAAGACGAATAACGTCTGCTGGATTTACTTTCCTGACTTCTATATATGAGTTACGTCACCTACAAGTCACGACGAGGACAAGACCGGATTATGGTGCTGGAAGGCACTTGCACCGTGTATATAAATATCCTTAGGATATATGAACCTATACATATACATCTGTATCATCATCTACAGGTAAATGAGTAAATATATATATATATATAGAAATTACTACTACTATTACTATTATTACTTTTATCATTTTGTTAAATTTACTTAATATATAACAGTACAATATTAGATTTTATTTTATTATCATTTGGTCCAGAGAGAGTAAATTAATTTCTCATTTTCTTATCCTCCTGTAATTGTTTTTTTTTTTTAGATAAATGTAATATTTTGTAATTGTAATTGTACTATTGTACTATTAGAAATGTTTGATTGATAGTGAGTGAAAGAAAAGAATGAGCTTTTGATTTGTTTGGATTTAATTATAATTGTAATAGAAAATTGTTTTTTTATATCGAGAATGTAACTAATCAATTTTTATTAATAATCATTTTTAAATAATATACACAATTTTCTAAAGAGTTCTAATATTCTTTTTAATATTAACTTTGTATCTAAGTAATTGCATCTTTTCAATTTGTCATGTTAATATTTTTCTTGAATTTCTTTAGAACTACGTTACTGCAAATGGTATATAGTACATATATACATATATATATATATATGTACCTGGTTCATTGTCATATACTCACACACGGAAGTACGTGAAGAAGATATGTGAGATGATGACGGACGAGTAAAGTGAAAGTGAAACGAATCCATTGTGACCTCGTCTTCTTCGTGAAAACTCTACAAATAAAAGTATGTAATTATAAAGGTATATATATATATATCATTTAATAGCACTTATATGTCAATAGATTTTATCTCGAAGAAAAAGAAAATAATGAAATGTCTGTAAGTAAAGATCTAATCATTTATATTTATTTAACATTTATATTATTATTTTTATATGTAAAATTTATCACAACGTTTCCTGATTCTCTGCGTAAAGTTTTGTTTCACGTTTTACCATCAATAATCACAATAATAATATTTATAATTTACCATAAGAAGAAATGAATGCATTTGAAATTTGTTCGTGCGGTTAAAAATAATTTGTAACTTATGTATAAGATGAATTTTCAAAACGTGTAATCTTATTTGTCAAAAATGTAGACTATTGTTTATTTATAAATGATACACCTCTTTGCATGAGTGAGTAATCAAGATAAAGATATTTGATTACCAATTAACAACCTTTTTTTTTTTTTTTTTACCGCAATATCATGTTCACTTTGAAGTAATTAATAAGTTCTATGGTGTAGCTCGATTTCTGCGGTTTTTAAATGTCACGTGAATAATAATCGATAACTCAATATACGATGTGATATTTGTGGTAGATAAATATGTAAGATAAATATACTCATTATATATACATTCGAAATATTGCGAATTAAATGCGATAATCGTAATGAAAACAAAAAAAAATTATCTTTTTACAAACTAATTTTTAATTGACAAAAGTATATGCGTTATTAACTTTTATTCTTTTACAAATAATAATTTGAAATATATTTCTAGTTAACATTTGGTTATTGTAAATTAATATTTTCTTTTTAAATTGGAATTATGCATTTAATTAGAAAAAAACAAAAAAAAATACAAAGAAAATAATTTATATATATAAATTACTTTTATAAATGTTAACTTATACATTTAGAAATACAGATAATATATTTTACAATATAATTTACAATTAATTTATAAATATTAAGAATTTGGTTATTGTGAAATAATATTTTCTTGTTTTTTTTTTTTTTTTTAAATTGCAGCTGCATTTAATTAGAAAATAATTCACATTATTTTTATAAATATTAACTTATAAATTTAGAAATACAGGAAAATTTATTTGATTATTACAAATATTATATAATAAATCATTAATTTATATGATACCAAAAAAAAAAATAATAATAACAATATCTAAGGCATGAAATCGATTGATAAAAAATTAATCTATAAACATTGTTAAAATTGAAAATATCTTAGATAAAAAATATTTTACATACATATGAAATAATCTTACATGAAAGTGAAAGATTTATCTATGTATATATATATAATTGAAATAATTTATGGTATAATTATTATTTCCTATTAACATAAACGCATAAAACCCATGTCTTCAGGAATATTTGGAAGAAAACAAAAAATAAATGATTAAGATTAAAAATTTGAAAAATATTATTCTTCAAGATAAATATTTCAAGATATATTGAAACTGTTTCAAGTAGTTTATCAAAGCAGTAAATGATAAAATAATATTAAACACACTCGAAAAAATTGTGTTAAAAGATTTCGCAATTAATCTCGTCGTCATTTAAAGTCAAATCTTGAAATAAATTCTTCAATCGAGTTATCATACATAATATAAATAAGCGAGAAAGTCTTCCTTGGCCTGATTACCTTGTTTCACGATCTCTCCTTGAATAATTTTTTACTTTCTATTGTAAGGAAGAATTATTTTATTTTTTGTTGTTTTATTGATACGAATGATCCTCCTTAGATAAATTTTTAAATGCATATCGTTATTTTTCTCATAACAAATATTTTAAATACCGTAACGCATTATAAATATATATATACTTAATACTAATTATGCCCTAATATAATATTAGATATTAATAGTTTAATAATTATATTATAATTATATTATAATTATATTATTAATAATATATTTTTATTAATTATATTATAATTTAATAAATTATAATAAATTAAAATTATATTATAATTTTCATAAATTACAATAATACTATTATTTAAATTTATAATACTACTAATTTACTTTATTATATACTAATAATTTATTTATTTAATATACTACTATATATAATATTATATATTACAATATACTATTAATTTAATCTATTATACTATTAATTATACTATTAATTATTTAATAATAATACTTTTCATATATATATATATATATATTTTTTTTTTTTCAGAACAAAACGAATGATGGACAATTTCTACATAATCAAAAGTAATATAAAACAATAACCTATATATAATATTGAAAATATTCTCATTTTGTATAATCATAATGTTTCAATGATATTTATAAATTAATGATATATTACAGTTCTCAAAACCTTAATGGCTACTACGAAGACGACGATGATATTGAAGAAGAAAATGGTGGGGTACTGGTTATACGACGTAACTCTCTCTTTCTCTCGTTAATACATATACAAATCTCAATGTATATATATATATAGATCTAATACGTTGATGTAAAACGATACTACGCATATTTATGTGTATACCGACATGTAATGCAAGCTTGAGATAGGTCCCAGAGTGTCGTCTAAAGCGAATGTCGCACCTGCCTTTAGACTTTGGCTTTCAGTTTCTTCGAGACAATCAAACACGTTGTACGTTCGATCGTTTTTTCTCATCGTTATTTTTAACTTTCTTTTTGATTCTTTTCTTTTTTTAATCTTGTGAGTTTCATTTTTGTATGTTTTATTTAATTAGATATAAATTAGAGTAAAATCAAGTTGAAAATTTCAAAGAAAGAAAAGAAGAAGAAGAAGAAGTAGAAGAAGTAGTAGAAGAAGAAGAAGAAGAAGAAGAGAAGGAATACTTAAAGTAAAAAAAGGGTACGCTTGTTTAGAAGTATTTTTTTTATCATATAAGACTTTTGTGATAAAAGAAAAAAGATAAAAAAACAAAAAAACAAGGGAAATAGTTTTAATTGCGTTAGTAGTAAGTTTTTTAAAATACGTGTGTGTCACGCGCGGTTAGCCTAATCAATGCTGTAGAAATTATTGACTGTAAAAAACTCGCAAGTCAGTCTTTCGAGTATTTAATTTTGAATTATCCTAACATCTTATAATTTACGTACACACACACATATATATATTTATATATGTATATCGTATTACGTAAGTTTATATTTTGTGTTAAATTAAGTGTTGAAAAGTTTTTTCCTTTCTTTTTTATTTTATTTATTTTTGAATAGATAATTATCTAAAAGATAAAGTAAAATAAATATAGTTGAATAAAACGGATTATAATACTTCTTGTGAAATCAACTCGATCTTTTGGTAAGTCAAAAAGATTATTTTTATTTTAATTATACCTTTTTTTTGTTCAATATAATTTTATATATTTCTAATTGTATTATATTAAATAAAATATAATTATATATATATATATATATATA